CATTTAAACAATTTATTAAGATTTTTTTAATATGACAGATTTTGAGAATCCAAGGGATATAAGTAGTATTTTGAGAATCATGATTTATGAATTAAATTACAAAAAATATTATGCCAATAACACTAGATTATAACAGAATCATAGAATCATTAAAATGCAGACTTTTTGAATAACAATAGATTTTGATTAGATTATAAAAATCATCATATCAATAACAACTGATTTTTATAATCTCTAAATGAATAACAGATAAGAATGGAAAAATCCACAAACCAATAACTATAGAATCTTAAACTCTAAAAATCTTTATAAATCAACTCTCCAATAACACTCCCTCAATGTTTAATTAGCTTAAAAACTTTGAGAGAGACACCCATTAGAGGTGGTCTTAGTCATTTGATCCATAATAAAAAAAAATGGTATATATAGAGAGATCTATACAAAAGCAAAAGATCTAATCTAAACACACTTCGCGCGATCTAGTACATGATTGAATTATGATTACGATTTAATAACACACTTCACGAAAAAAATGAATTAAAAAATAGGTTGGACGCACATCCCAAAATTTTAATAAATGTAACAAAAATTACACAGAGTCACGTACATGCATGTGCGTATAAATTATACAAAACTAACTAAAATCTCTACTATCATATGCTATAACTTAATTAATGCGACATTGCATGGTCCATCCACCTAAGCCTGACCTGGAATTAGTCTTCTTTTTCTTAGTAATTTTGTTTAATTTAAATTCACCTTTGGTCGTATCGCCTTTGATTCGCCATTACGTTTTGATTATAACTTAAATCCCCAAAGAACGTAGTAGAGTATTGTTACCGGCAAAGCAACCAGCATTCCGAATATAACCCTGCAAAACAATATATATATAAAGTTAAAATATGATACTTTTGCTTCTATATTTTAATATTTTTTTGGGGAATTTATATCTTTTTATTTGAAGACAAAAATATCTTCAAAGTTTTGAAATGAAGTTTGAGATTTTTTTTTTTGAAATAAAATAATTCAGAAGGAAGGGAAAACGTAACATTTCGACTTATTGAATATTTTACTTAGAACTATTTGTCTACAAAAATGGACTAATAATCATCAAATATAATTTATATTCAAAAGTCGAGCAACTTCAACTAGAGAAAAACAAGAAACTTACGCAGTGCTGAGAATATCAGGATGGACGTTATATTCCTTGGCGAAAACAAAAGGAACGATTCCTTGAGGAAGAGCAGCCTTCACAAAATATAATTATTTCTAATCAATAATTGTGTATATATAGGAATAATACATTGTAAGAAGTTCAACATCACTAAATCATCAATTGAAATATAAATTCATTAAATATTAACCTGAACGATGGCAATATGGAGGAGACTGCCTCGAAGACCAATTGCAATTGAGGTGGCTGCGATTACAGCCGGTCCGGTCAAGAACCTTACGGCCATCGCGAAGACCGCTACTGATTTTCCGCAAGCTATTATCTTTGGTTGCAATGCCATAAATAGACCTATATATCAACAATTTTACAAACGTCACAAATACATATGTAGAAGGAAAAGCATGTATGACGAGGAATAATAAATGTCTATACCAAGACTAAACATAGCCATGCCAAGACCAGCATCAGATAATATCGAAATCGATCCACTCACTATAGTTGGCATCTTTATATTCCACCTGTCCCAAAAATAATCATAGTATATATAATCAACATCAAGAAAACAAAAAAAAAAACATCAAGAAAACCACATAAACTATTCAAAACGGCTAAAACATTATATCTATTTGACTATTTTACTCTCAATATTGCCCAAAATATCTTATTTTTTATTAATATTTTCAATATTGAGATTTTTTTTATTATAAACATCAAATAATATTCATACATGTTTAAAATATGCTTTCTAAATACTCCATACGTAACATCCGGTAAAAAACATCATAAAAACATCCCACAAAAAATAGTAATTTTGTATAAATTTTTCTTCTAAAAAATATGGTTTTCAAAATGTAGAATCCGTTTGAATGTTGACTTACTTGTAGGAGACGAGGGACCAAGCAAGGCCAAAGAGACTAGAGTAAGTGTTAGGGTTCCGAATAAGCTTTCTCCAAACCATTATCAGTATCAGTCTCGTCATCACGCTCGCCGGCGGCATCTGCTGCTTCCTCGGACCGCCGGGACCACCGTCTTCCACGTCACTGCCTTTCTTCCCCGTGTAAGGTGACGAATTTACCCCTGACTTACCTTCGTTATTACCGTCTTGGTCCATCTCCACATGCCCTTTTCTTCCCGGTGTCATGTTCTCTATCAGATTCTGCATCGCTGTCATCATCAATTGAAAAAAAAATTACAATTTAAAGAAAACACTAAATTGCACTGATTATAAAAATATCAAGATTTGAATAAAATAAAATTTTAAAGAGATTACTAATTGATTATGATATCTATATTTGAAGAAAATATATTAGAGCATGTTTATCGAGGTCTTTAAACTGGATCTCTTAGTATTATTGGGTTTAAATTAAATCATAAATGGGCAATAATAAAGAGAGAAAAACACAAGCGACGTCTCTTATTTCGGATCCGTGGGAGACGTCTCTTGCTTGCCATGTGTCACAGCGCTATTGGCAGATGAAACAAAGATGAGGAAATTTTTTTTGCTCTATGTCGTGTAGTCATTTATTTCGTGTCCAAGTCCTGTAGTCATTTATTTTTGCTTTCTTTTTCCTCAATCTCGATATCAGTATATATCAAGTATATATCAACTCTTTTCTGAAAAAAGATTTGCAAAAAATAGAACTAACCAACGTTTCTCAAAAATCCGCTAGAACATTAATTCTTAACTCAAAATAGTAACCATCGTTACAAATTTTTTTTTTTCTAATGTTTTAAGCTCTCTTCTTGCATATGTTCCTTTTTCCTTTTACCCTACCTCAAAATCATCTATTAAATTTGTGTTGTTTATATATAATAAAAATGTTTTACTTTTGTTATTTTCAATTACAAAACTTCTTTTTTATAAATTTTTTTTAAAAAAAACTCATTACAGTTTCTCTAATGTACCTCAGATAAATCAACATCTCTTAATATGTCTTTTAACTAAACAATATTACTAAAATAATATTTAAGAGACACACATGGATCTCTTTAATAAACATAGTCTTAACTTATTGACCATGTATATCGTTCACTCTAGTTACTTTTTTTTTGTTGAACCTTAGTTCACTCTAGTTACTTGAAATTAAACTTATATCCTGTATAAGTATTTTTTTTTTTTTGGGGGGTCAAATATCCTGTATAAGTATAACAATGATTAATGATATTAAAAAAAAACGGAATTAAGTGGAAGAGTAATGAACCTTTGGAAGCGAGGTTATCGTGAGGAGGAGGAAGAGAAGCTTTTGGGTCGGTGGATAAATCAGTGGAGGCACCTCTTGTCATTGCGTTCCTCGCGTTGGCTTCAGACACCGGAGATGCACTCGAACTCCACACAAACATGTTCATCTCCTTATTGTTCTGTCCTCCTCCTCCACCACTTTCCTTCTTCTTGGCTCCACTTGCTCCGCTCGTTGACCCCGTGAACATCGGGTTCGGTGGTGGATACGACGGCACTATTACATTTTTTTTATAAAAAAAAACTATATATTTAATTATGGCAGAAAATTGAGCTTCAATACAGTTTACGTTATCCTAGAAAATTAAAAAAAAAAAAAAAACATAACTAGAAAGCCTTCATATAGCCATTTTGTGCTATTTTTGGAAAAATAAGATAAAAAGAAAAGATGATCCAATTTTTTTTGAAAAAAAGGAAAAAAAGAAAAATCATACCACTATTATTGTTGTATAATTCACCACTCATGCTTCTCCCACCTCGTCCTCCTTTCTTCGGCTTCATAACTTCCTCATCAAAATTCGACGTTCTTGGCGTCACTCCTTTAGACGACTGAAGCGAGTAAACATCTCCGCCGGGACCTGACCCTGCGCCGCCGTAGCTATTGGTGTAGCCGTGACGCGGGCTCGGAGCTTTGCTTGCGTTGAACATAGCGTAGAAATCTGTCTGGTTAAAGCTCGACGCTCTCGGCGTCGGCTCTCGCGACGACTGAACCGAGTAAATCTCGACGCCGGTGAGATTTGAAGCTCGCGGCGTTATCATGGAGGAGTTTAGTCCTCCGCCGTGAGATTTGTTGAACGACGAGATCATCGATGAGGCGGCGCTTGATCTCCGGACCACCACGTGGAGCTTTCCGTCGTCACCTATCTCCGCGTCGGTCTGATTAAACATAAAAAAAAAACAGATTTGTTGGTGTAATTGTTTTAAGTCAATGTGAAAGTAAACCGGTAAGTTTCCGGTTTTTTACTTAAACCAATTTCAGTTTTAACCGAAATAATCTGGTCTGGCTTAAAAAAAAGCACAACAAATCAAAATCTAACAAAGAGAATGTTGAGTATTTAAACAACCGGATATAACCAAATTAATATATCGAACCCGGTTTATAATTTTGTTTACTTTTCTGGTTGATCCATTAATCAAGCTTAACGAAAGACAACATTTTACTTAGATAAGGATTAAAAACAAAATAATAGGGATCAATATCTAGTTTAAGCCAATATTTATAAACGCTATTTTATATTAAAACAATATTTATACCTGGAGAGGCTCACGGCCATTGAGAGAGATAACATCAGAATCAACACGAAAAGAAGTAATGGAACCGGCGGTTTCAGGGAACTGCTCGGAGATGAGAAGCTTAGCGCCACGGAACTCGAACAAGAAGAGCATCAATGTATACCATATGATGCTCTGAAGCACCACTATCTGCACCATTAGGTTGCCGGAAAAGTCGCCGTACATTGCCCGGAGCAACGGGATTCCCATCACCAAAGTGTTCGGTAGCGTTGATAGTGAGAAGAGTGTTATCATCCATTCTAGGCTTCCTCTCCGGCTAAACGCCTGAAATATTTAATATCACAATATATATCAACATACAAGTAAAGACATGAGAATTTATATATAAATATGAGCAAGCTTCATGTCTCTAAAAAAATCATTAAAATGTCTAGCTACTCTAAAATGTCTAAAATGTCTTCCTACGCAGCATTATGGAAGAACCCGTTATTGCCATTTAAGACATACGTATACACAACGTTTAGTCTATTACGTGTTCTTTTTTATAACCGAAAAATACGTCTAGTAAGAATCGATATCAAAGCGATCATCATACTAGACTACCATAACCTAATAAGCACAAAAAATGAAGTTAAGGAAAAATAAAGTTAGCACTAAAAAATTATGAAGATAATGGGCTGATAAAGTATATATGATGCATATATTATAGAGGTTATTAGAAGAGACGGGCCTGCCAAAGAAAGAGTGCGGCGAGGATAACGACTTTCTGAAGAGAATCGGCGGCGAGGAAATGGTAGTTCATGGCATAAGGATCATTGGAGGAGATGAAATGGAAAGACAGAAGAGGAACCGCGAAAACCGCAACAAACCGGTTTATACCGGAACATTGGTCCGGCGTGAATATTCCCCACCACCTTACGGAACCGTAGGCTAGTATCATAGCTACGTATAGCGGCACCATCGCCGCTAGTACGTCGTACATATCTTTGCCAGTGATCATTTTATTTTATTTCCGGCGAGAAGAGAGAGATAAGATAGATGGGGAGAGAGATAAGCTTGTGGGGGTGGTATAAGGTATTTATGGAGGAAGTGAACTAGTGAAGTTCCTATAGACAATATTAATTAATGTTGTTTGTGTTAATTATATAGTTTTTTTTCCTTATAATAGAGTAATGGGATTCGTGTTCAAACATTGAATTATAGCCATATAGGATTGCTTGACATTTGAATATTAAAGAATAAACCAAAACGATTTCCAAAAACGATTGACATACATTTTACTAAGTGATTTTAGACTGGTAAATACTCGAGGACTTTCTACTTACAAAGACAAACATTGATTTGGAATCATGTCAGCTAATTTAATCCATTTTAATTTAGAAGTGTATGAACAAGCAAAACCGTAGATTTTTGTTTTTTGTTTTTTGTCTTTGTTTTTTTTTTGCTTTTATAACGATATCATATTTTGTCAGCAGATTAAGGATCCAAATTAAGAATTTTGACGTTTTTACGAGATCACATAACTGATCAAATGTAAACATAATTGCATCGAATATAAGATATATGATACTCACTTACTCACATACTGATACTATTCTATAGTAGCTGTTAGTTATTTTTTTTGCTCTAGATATTTTGCAATTTGCACCTTACATGTTTCTCTGTATTACTTATTAATTTTTTCCTGCAACAAGTCGTTATATAATTATGGAAGAGAAACAGGGAATCTTGTCTTGGGATAAGGAAGATTGGTTTCCCTTCTGTCCCATGGTCTATAGTATTCGAAGTCAAATTAAATGCTTTGGAAATTATATTTCCTTACACAAATGTTAGATCCTGAAAGTAGAGTTAGATACTTGGATGGATCCACTTGTACGTGTAACACCACTTTTCAGTTTCGCACGCAAATTTCATATATATAGTATCAGATGGTATCAACCAAAAAAAAAAATACAAAAAGTATCAAATGGTAAATTTTAGATACTTTAAATTGTAAGCAAACCAATTTTGTTAATTAAAAAACCAAAAAACAAATTGTGTAAGCTATCGACACGGCGAAGGATGATGCATGCACTGATGCACATGGTATTGAGAGCATCTAATAACACTTTCTGAGCGATCTGCGGTTCCTGTAAAGATCTGATTAAATCCGGACGAAAACAATTAACGATCTTGTTTTTTATAACGAAGAAATTAATTTAACTTTAGACCGTTGTAGTTTTGTTAAGGAAACTTACAAGTTCACCACTCTAAGATAATGTTTTTTTTTTTCACTTGAAATCTTAATGATTTTATTTATTTATTAATAGGGTCAAGAACATTGGCAATCGGACCGGATGAATATTATCCTCCTTCCGTATTTAATTGTCGTATTTTCATATTGCGTCGACGTATTCATCACGCCGCTTTGATTTGGCCTAATGCACCCTTTATTAGATACCAAAAACAGGAAGCTAATATTGAGAGATGCAAACTTAGTTAAGCAGAATCTTCCTTCTTGGCCACTTCACCACTTTTCACGGGTGGTAAACTCTGCACAAAGAACACCTTCTGGGCCATTGCATAAAAATAAAGATAAACGAGAAAAAGGGGAAGAGAAACTGATAGAAAATCAGGCGATTTTTGAAACAGACATCAATTGATCACCTTAATGGACTTTTCGACGATACAAAGCTTTCTCCGACTTTCTTAAAGCTTGACCCGATTACGTAAACCGCCTAATGTTATTTTCGCGCATGAGAATCACATTTCCTTAAACGGGCTAAATCTCCCTATAATTTAATAACTATTTGCAAATAAATAAAAACTGACACTATACTTAGTCCTTTTGTTGTATAGTGTTTTAATGAGCTCTTTCTCGGAAATTCATTTGATCATCCAATTAATAATTTTGAGAAAAACTAGTTTTCTAAAAAAAACTAGGAAAACCATTTTTTCTTGCGTTTGCGTTTTGTGGAGAAATGAAAAAAAAAACTATTTCACTTTATTTTTCATTTAAAAAAAAAACTATAAACTAAGACCAAAAAATTTCCCAAACTCAAAATTGAATCAATTGTAACCAAAAAAAAAAAGAGTGAATGGTGACAAGAGGTAGGCCCAACAAAATTCAGAGCCCACAACTATATTTCCATATCACGGGCCATACATACATCAATATTCAATACCAACTACCAACATTTCTAACACCATAAGTTATCAACTTTTCATCGGATACTCCAAACCGAGAAAACCCAAACACACCAAACAATTAACAAAGCGACCCCTCCACAGGTTAAACTCAAAAAAAATTACCAGCCGTTTATAACCGTTTTACTTTACCCGTTACTTCAAATTCGAGTGATTGTGTCTGCACATTGCTTAGAATCCATATAAACATCTCGAATAATTCTTACCCTCCACTTGCTTGCTTGCTTGAAGATGTGTTTGTTGTATGATCGTACCATGCAGGGCAAGCAAAATCTGAGGAGGAATAAAACTACGTCGTTTTACAATGGGCCTTATATTGGGCCTTACACGGAGCTCTGTTTCCATTTCCCCTTAACGGAGTTGATCTTATCGAGCCTCCACTCGTCTCTGAGCCTGGCGATGAAATTGTCGGCTTTCGTGTTAACGTCCGGGCTTGGACAGAATCCCGACCCGACGGCGGTTAGGGTTTCAGCTCCGCCGTCAGATTGTGTGAGCTCTAGACCCCAACCGAGGTCGATCACTTCTCGCTCAGGGGAGCTACATCTGGAGCTCTGGTTGCTCCGTATCTTCGCGAAATCCCCACTCACCACGAATTTCAGCGGCGGAACCCTAAACGGAGGCGGTGGAGGCGGAGGAGGCGTGGTTTGAATCAACGGAGATGCATGACCGTTGTTGACGTAGCTATCTTCGTTGAAATTTGTCGGTTTCATCGGACGCGGAGGTCTTCCGGATTTCGATCTACGTGGTGGTGTCTGAGGATCCAATTGGATCTTCCTCGGCGGTGGAGGTGGAGGCGGCGCCGGAACCGAGTGTATCTTTTTGCTTTTAACTCCCTTCTTGAACAATCCGTAGAACACTGACTGCGACGATCGCAGCGGAGGCGGAGGAGGTGGAGGAGGTGGCGGCGGAGACGGTGGTGGAAATGACGATTGGTATTGAGGCGGTTCTGTTGCCGCCACCACCACCTCCGGAGATTCGCTTCTCTCCTTTCTCTTTGGTTTCTGAAGCTTCTTCTTCTTCTTTCCTTGATTATACAGAGAAGCGAAAACCATTTTAATCTCTTTAGCCGCATTGCTCTTTCTTCGCTGAAGAGTTCCCTGTTTCCTCGGTGGCGTGGCGGTTATAAACGGAGGAGGCGGCGGAGGCGGAGGAGGCGGAGGCTGAAACGCTCGTTTAAATCTTGTGGAATCGGAATTAGCGTCACTGCGTTTCGACTTTTCTTGTATATCTCTGTTTCTAACAGAACGATGAGTCCTTTTCGGTTTCTGTGAAACTTGAACCGGCGATGATTCAGGAAGTGGAGGAGGAGGTGGTGGTGGTGCCGGTGGTTGTTGCGGCGGATGCGGCGGTGGAGAAGACGGCCTTACAACAAATTTATCAACCGGAATTTCTTTAGGCTCGGATTCTTCGATTTCGATTTTAGAAGGCGAATCTTGCGATCGGTACTTGTCGATTTCGAAGTCATCGTAAAACCGGAACCGGCGATCGGCGGTTTCCCTGAAAGCTCCATTTCTCAGATCAGGGTACGAGCTACTACTACGCCTCAACGGTAAAGTTCCGGTAACCGGTAATCCCGGCGAGAAACTCCTGTTACTCAAGCTCTCGTAGATCTTTAGCCTATCAGCATCGTACACGTCATCAAACCACTGCTGCGAAACCACCGGAGAGGAAGAGATTTTGCTATCCTCACCATTCGTGACATCATCTTCTTCTTCTTCGACGTGTGAAGACTGTGACGACGAAGACAATCCGTCGTCGTTTTGTCTGGCGAGTACGCCGCAGAGAATCGCGAAAACTACTAAAACGACGTTGATGGAATCCCATCCTTTCTTCACCGAAGCTGGCTGAAAAATCTGAGATGTGATCGAGAGAAATGGAGGTAAGACGAAGGTCATAAAGAGAAGAAAAATAGCTGCTGATATCACTCCGATCATCGCCGGACCTAATATCGTCGGAATCGATGATCGCCGGCGAGTGTAGCCAGTAGATTCAAATTGCGGCCAGATCAGCGGCGGCTGTTCGCCGTTAATCTCCATAATTTTAGTAGAGAGAGAGAGAGAGAGGAGAGAGAGACTTTGTCGATTCGATTACAGTACATTAATGAGTAGCCGAATATATAGTGCTTATTATGTGGCGGATAGATTAATAATAATATGAATTAAGTACGTTATTAAACTTAATTTTAGGGAAAATAAAACTATGATTAAGATTATAGTCATACGGACACGGAAAGGAATTGTTGTCATGATATTGAACAATGTCGCGCCAAAGACTGTCAATATAATGCTAGACTCAAGTAATTACGTTGGAAATTTCGTCGAATTACTTCCCTTAATCCATTTTATTTTGTCAACAATACAAACAAATATATCGAAAAAGTCAAAAAACTTAATCTATAATAGATTATAATTTTCTTTTGATGGTTTCAAAATTTTATGTAAAACATATATGTAAAAGTTATTTGACATCATGTGATAATTAATGACATTTAAAAATGAAAAGATTGATATGTTATTTTCTCGTAGCCGTCCATTTAGATTTTCAATTCTGTTTTATGCATCGTCTAATTAATCCGATTTGTAGAATGATTGCATGAATGCATGATCCAATTCTGTTTTTCCAATTAATCAAGGTTTTTTTTTTGCTGTAAATGATTGACATATTAATTCCATTTTAAATTGTTGAGGATGTTGCCATTAAGGCCCGTTTTGGATAACCCTTGATTACAAGCAACGTCGAGCCGTCGACCAAAACAAATATATATATTTTTGCTTACCAAACGTTACACTAATCATGCAAGTAATGCATAATCGAACATATGTTGACATACCAAATACAATATTGTTTAGCAAGATCATATTTCAACACGACTTCTATTATACCGCGAGAATTTACTGCATGTGAGACTTCCACCTTTTTTTTTCCTGAAGTAAAAGTGAGACTTCCACTTTTACTACAACAAAATAATGCCTAGTTAGGCTTTTAGTCAACAAAAAAAAAAAATTAAAAATCTTGGTATTGTGACGTTTTTCAGAATGACACGGCGTAAATTCAAAAATAAAATAATAATTTTCAGGGACTAAAAGATTCTATTCTATTTTTGTATTTGATTTCCTGAAATTAATAGTATATAATTTGTGGCCAGACTCCAAACCTCGGGATTTTATTCATAGAAGTTTCTTTTTTGGTTTATTTATTCATAGAAGTTACAAAACTAGTTTCAATTCAGTCGTGTTAATAATTGTAACAACAAATATCTTATTTTTATGTTTTCTAAAAAAATCTCACGGCGCACAGCCGCACATATTGTCGATTTTTTTTGTTTCATTGTTAATGCAATTCAACATTGAAATCTGAAAAGGAAAAAAATATTAAATGCGACTAACAACAGAAAAACAAAAAACAAAACTTGGTTATAAGTAATTGGGTCCCTTTTGGAACGTATATAATGATCTGGAACTGTATAACTATAATTGCAATTGCAAAACCACTAGATACACTGTTTTTAATTTTCTTTTTGTATTGCATTAAAAAAAATGTTTACAAACACGTTCTTCGTTAAAAAACTGTTTTTACATTTTGTAAAACAGTTCTACTTTCGCAAAAACACTTGCATGACCATATGGTAAATCATAATTAGTAATTTATATTCATAATTGTGTTTTATCTCCATGTACGTATTTTTTTGTAACAAGGATTTCTCCATGTACGTATTACCAAACCAAATCCATAGTATGTTACTAAAATCGTGTTTCATCGTAACCATAATTAGTAAATCATTCAAGCAAAATACATTGCTACCGTCCATGCATGTCTCACTACTATACAAATCCTATGATTTTTTTAAGTAATGTACGATATTTGCTTGTAGTAAAGTAGTCCACGTATAGTTTGGATCGGAATCTCGTACACATAAATTTGGAAAATGACTTTAGAGGATGCTCCTGCTCTGTTGATAGAAATAATTGGAGCGTGGTTATCATCATTGTAAAGTGTTTACTTACCCTTTTCTCGCTACACCCCAACCCAAACCTCCGCGACTTTTGTCGAGCTGTCTCTCCTTAAAACACAATTTTTTTATTTTTACAATTATTCGTTCGTAAAAAAAATCAAAAAAGTAAATTACAATTTACACACAAATTAACCCTCTTTAATTAGCACTATGATTCCGCTGTTGCAAAATAAGTTATTTTCAAAGAAGTCAAACAGATACAGGGTGATTGTGGTGTGTTTGAACGCTTTAACCCGAAAAATAAACGTTTTAAACTTTAAGATCAGGAAGGATTTCAATGTGGTGTGTTTTTTTTTTCTTTTCTTTTTCGTCGGTGTTGAGCATATAGAAAGATGAATATATTTATACGCATTCACAATTTCGCATATGCTATCAATGGTTCATACTGAACTTGCAAAAACTATGGATAAAAACTCATAGAGATAACAAACAAAATTCACATATAATATATATATATATATATATATATATATATGTGTGTATGTGTGTGTGTATGCGTACGTAAAATCATTGTATTATGGTGTTAATAGCTTTTTTTAGAAAGGGTCCAATGCTAGCAAACATTACTGACCTGAAAAATTCAAGAATCGTTTTAAAAAAGAGAGAATTTAATCTATCATATTAATATTTTATATATATTTTTTTTTTTGGTAGATAAGTGATTATGCTCCTGTCTTTATAATAGTGATAGATCACACATTTAACCCAAAAATAAAGTGATAGAGCAAACGATATTGAAATCAGATGTCGATTGGTAGCAATATGGAGCTTATATGCACCATGATTTCTTCAATAGTTGTTACAATATTCCACATTCGATAAGTGGAAGGAGCAAAAAGTTGATTAAAAAAACCATTCAAGAAAAAGTGAAGAAAAAGAAAAGGGGGACCAGCATCCAACCCTTTAAACTCATCTTTCATTTCTTATAAACCATTTAAACATTTTGTAGTTTAGTAGATTATGAATATTTCAAATTAAAAGTGTTAGTTAAAAAACTTTTCAACCTAATATTACTTATAAGCGAATTAATGAATAAATTGATAAACTAAACCCTGATTTTTGGGTTGTGTAACGTTCCACCTTACCAATAATGTGTTGTACACTCGACCTCCACCATTTCCAGATTTGTTTTATAATTTGTTTTGGAACACATTAAAAGGGATCAAACATTATACTAGCTTATACGTGATTTTATTAGTTTGCGTGACATGTTGACGTTAAGAAAATCCCAAAAACTATTAAAATACAATGATTACAAGTTAACAACACATTTTATCTTGAAAATTTTAAATTTGATATATAGTCCTAAAATCATGGCCATCGCAACCAGCTTTCTGTCTTTGAAAACGAAATAAAATTTGATATTTTTGAAAACTGGCTCTTATCTTTCTCACTCGGTGTCCCACTAAACCTAAAGACCAGAGAAAGAAAAGTAAACATTAACTAAAAACATATAAAACTCTTAACCAAGAAAGGGAGGATAGCGATTTACGTAGAAAGAAAATAATTAATATGCCTTATATTATTTATAAGAGAACCGGTTTCGGGAGAATCACAGAAGAGCATCATTATCCCTAATACTCCAAATAGGTTTCTTAACAATTTTTTATTATTAAACATAGATTAAGAAACCTTCTTAAAAAACTTAATGATTTTAATGGTGTATTGGTAAAACCCATTGGGTTTCTTAAAAAAAATTTGCAACTTGAATCCAAAGTTTATGACTTGTAAATTAAAATCAGATGCAGAGCCACAAAACTCAGACAAAAGAACTTGCCAATTTGCAAACAACAATCTGATTTATTATTAGCTTGAGAAAAAAAAATATGAGAAATGATTCAGAACAGACCAGTAAAAAAAAATTAGACTTTTATTTTCTTGCAAATAAGAGATGATTAGACATTACATTACCTTAACTAACAAGTTATCCACAACCCCTAAATCTTCGTTAGTCTGTGTGAAACTTCATTGCATCTGTTCGGACACAGATGTTACATAAATCACACAACTTTACAAACCATTTTGTGACACCACTTTGACCCAGTCGTAACGCCCTGGCAATGGATTCTCCGACACAATGTCAAAGTTGTACCTACAAAACCAACAAACTCTATCAAAATCAGGAAAAAAAGACTCTAAAATTCTAAACCCATGAATCAACTCAAGAGAAGATTACTACTTTTCAATGAAGAATCTCTGTTGTTGTTGCTCTGCAAATGCAAGAAGCTTTCAAAAGAACACACATCAAGCCACAAATCAGCACATCGGTTAAGCTTGATCAAATCAGCACATCGGTTATCCAATCAGCAAATCAATACTTTGATTACACTTATCCAGCCCAGACAACAATCAAAATCAAGCTTGATAGCAAACACTTGATGTCTACATACTCGATCAATTCTACATTTCGATTAACAATAACTCCATTGACAACTTTACACATTTCCTAAACCTGAATCACAAAATATCAACATGACACTCGTAAATTTGTCAATGAAAACAGCATCTAAACCCATCGATTACATAAATCCATTTATAAAACGAGTTCACACAATCCATCAAGTACATAAAGTTATCGTCGATCTCTAACTCAGTCGACGCATAATCAGGAGAGAAAATCATAAAAGCTCCAATAAACTATTCCAGAAAGCAAAATGAAACAAAATCGGATATATCAAACAATTAGAGGGGATGATTTCGTTACCTCGGAGATAACGAAGAAATTGATCGGGCTAAATGGAAAAGAGAAGCGCAGGCGTCGTAGGCGTCTCCACCCGAAGGAGACGGCCTCTCGCCGGATATGTCGCCGGAGATGACGACGATCACTCGATGGAGACCATTTGATACTCAGATTTTTTGATGCATCAAGGGTCGGTGCAAAGAAGAGAAAATGGTCGAGCCTTTTTTTTGTTCAATCACAATGTGCCACGTTAGCAACAAAAACCGATCCTTGTGGTTCCAGAATAAGAGCCGATTTTACTTCTTTTTGGACTTGAATCAATATTAAAACAATATATTGGGCTAAGAAACGATAATGATGGTGTAAGGTTCTCGATATTTCATAAACTAAACAAAAATCAGGTGATTAACGTGGGTAAAAGTTAGTGAAAGAACAAGTGATATCAAAAAGTTTATTATCCAACCAAAAAATTTGTTGAGCCATCGAATCAATAGTTTCCGTAAATCGAAACTAATTTCTAATAGTACATGTGTGACAAATCCATCAAACATAATAAACCAGTCTTTTCCTTTTTTTCAAAGACACAGCCAAATGAAATAATATACCATTACTGGCCGGGTTAATATATAGCATCATGAACTTTGTATCATAAACTAGTGCTGCATCGATCACGCGTTTGTGGATTGAATCAATACATAATTTTGAAAGAAACTACCTTTAATAGTATACACGTATATTGCTAACTATCCGAGTGTAATTAGCTACCATATTCAAACTCGATTTCCGGTTAAAAAGGTTATTAGTATAGACCGAGGACTCGGAAGTTTCTGTATATTTCTTTCTTGTTTGTTGCTTAACAGAGTATAAAGAATTCTTGTTTTTTTAAAGAAAAAAATAGCAAACAAAGAGTGATTAATGAAATAATTGGACACAGATGGACATGAATCTGGAGTTTAGGTGCAGATATCTGTATTTTGGTCTGGAAGCAATACATATATAATCAACAACTTTTTTTAATAAGTAAAAAAAAAGAAAGAAGAGAAAGAGACAGGCTGGGAAAAAAGAGCCGCTAGATGAATCGGAAGTATCGTCTAAGTTTCTTCAAACAGCTAGCTTCCAGATACACAGCCTGTCTCCCACACGTGCGATTTATTTTACCACATCTAATCCTAATATCGTATTACATGTCGTCTTGTTAGTACTATTCATTTAAAATTAATTTAAACCTCTTTAAATGATTCGTGTTTCAATAATTCGTAGTATTAAATAAAACGGAAAAGATCCACATGTTTGTCGTGGCAATGGCATTAACCTTTTATAATCTTTAAGAGAGATGAGAGTAATCAAATCAAATCACACTCTCTGTTTGTTGATGATGATAAATACAGAAGATATCGAAACATCGCTCCGTTTTAACATTCCTGAGAGAAGCACATCACGCCGTCTTGAAGTTTTGATGAGTGTGCAAAACAGCATTATTTTCAGCGAAAACAATCCCACTACCAAGCGGACCAGCCGAAACCAGCCCACTAAAAAGGGGAATATCGTGCAACACTAATACTTTGATTGGTGATAATTTTGTGGAATACATAACTGCATAAATAATGAAAATAATTTTGCGGAATGAAATATACGACTTAAAATTTACTTTTTTTGATTGACAGCATTTTCATGACTTATTTTTCATCCTACTATTTTTGTTGATTAACAAAATACTCAGTTCTACATATTACCAACCAAAACCAAAAGTCTAAAGTAAATTATCGACAAATTGATTAGAGAAAGTTCAAGACATGAAAATTCTGTGAAAGAAGGGTAATAAACTAGTATCCAATCTCTTCCACTTATTCAGACGAGAATAATCACAGTGCAAATACAGCCATTGAATTGTGTGTGTGTGTTTTTTTTGTTTTTTGTATACAGCCTCTGAAAGTTGGGAACAAAAAGTAATACACAACTTTAAGCAAAAAAGATTGAAGTAAAATCATATGGTTTTATCTGAATGTACATGAGGCCAAGTTCCCGTAACTATTCCTTGATGAGCACGGAACTTATAAGAATGTATGCATACTTACATAGTTACATTATGTATCTGAAGATATTAAAACCACCTTAAAGCCAAAATCACGAGCAACACAAGAGAGAATCCCATCGCCTGCACCAATTTAACATCGAATCAACAGTTCATATCGACTAATGAATCTAAAACAACTATATTAGATTATGGACTAAATTTTAACCGTAATATGAACACACAAGAAAAGCACATATATAAGAGTACTTACAGTGATTGCGGAAGCAGCAAGACCAGCTCTTTCTCTAGGATCTTTGCGGTAATAGTTCCCGAAGTAAAGAAATGTAGCATAGTACCACAAAAGTGGAAACACAAATCCGAGGAGAAATCTGTTTAATCATTAGAGAGATGAGATCAAAAGGTACGTGAAGAGATTATTAAATCAGCATTAACAGGAAAACAAAACTCACGAGAACCATCCGATTCCACAACCAAAGCATGGAAGAGGTTTGTCATATACTCCTGTTTCCATGTCGCCAACATCTTTAACAAGCGTGTATCTTCTTTTCCCACGAACCATCAAATCTATCGTAACAGAGATATAGTATCTATGGTTAGAAGTTAGATAAAAGGTGTTAACAAGAATGCTTCATATTTCACATCTTGTTTATAATAATAATAACAGTCAAATTAAAATTGCAGGACCTTAATGGATTGAAAAGCGAGTTGTGGTTTTTTACCTTTAAGTGAGGAATAATACCGAGCGGCTGGTTTCATGATATCGGCAAGCCTATCAGCAATGAATTTTACCAGCTCGGTTTTACCATTTCCGGATTCAAATTTGGTATCTGCAATTGAAAAAGATGCAATCTTTACTTGCACATGTATGGTATGGATGAATTTTACCATTTCTGGATACAAATATAGAGGGCAAAACAACGTTTTCTCATTTCAAGTCATCTCAATCTCACTTGAGAAAAGTGCTATAATTTTGCAGTAACAAAACTACTCTGTTTTCTAGATTTGTATGATAACTCATTGATTCTATACTCCACTAAAAGTAACTAAAAACCACAAGATTTGAAGAGTTAAGAGGAGCAATTTGTTCATAAGAGAGGCAAGAAGACAATTGGTAGTTACTTTCGTCCATGCTTTTAGCTCTTGATTGTGTGACCAGATCTTCAATTTCCCTGCATTGAAAATGAAACCCTCTGAATTTCACAAGCAGTAATCAAAAACCTACTCATAGTTTTTCAACCAACAAAAACCAGAATTCAAGTATGCTTCAATCGAGACTTTAACAGCAACCTGAACCTCGTTATAATTTGAATTCTCCAAATTAAGCACCGTGAAAAGTAAAAAACGCAAATTTGAGATCATCTTATACAAGATTAGCCCTAAAAATCAAACTCGTCGATCCAGTGCACATCTAATCTAATACCGGAAATTGCTGTGGAAGAAAGGAGAAACAAAAGACCGAAGATAAATGAACTCACCGAGGAGAATCTATTGAGTAAATGGCGAGATCAATCTGGTAATGAAACGAATCTGAAGCTGATTATTAGTCAGACGAGAATCGTGTCTCTTCCGCTTCTTCTTCAACCTTTTTCAGTCTTTTTTTTCCAACTTCGTCGGCGCTTTAAATGATGCGTGCAAAGCTGATGAAGAAATTAAAACTCTGTGAAAGTAAATACTCTTTTTTAGCAAAAAAAAAAGAAGTAAATACTCTTTTACCAACCAATTAGCTTCTTATTTATGTTTCTGTATTAGACAAAACAATAAACAACTTTCTCTTTTTTTTTTGTGGTCTGGAAAGAAAATGTTGTTTGTCTGGCAAACAAATGCTTTTTGAAGAGATTAAGAATAAATATCAAATCTTGAAATATTAATATGATGTAAAAATGCATTACTTCTTATGTCTTTTTGGTTTTTGCCACTTTACTTCTTTCTTTAATTGTTGATGTGATGAAAAGATGAAATAAATCGGTAAAAGCTGCCGTACACAACACTTAGCAATCAAAACGTTTTGTGTAAGTATTTACCAGATTGTCTCCCTCACCAACAGTCAGTAAACTCACAATCTCAAACTATTCGAATGCACCAATTATTAAAAAAAGAAAGAAGGTAATAAAACATTGAATGATCTTAACTTAAACGAGCGCAGAGTCATATTACAGTTAACGCCAAGAATAAAAAGAGAAGGGGATTTTTGTTTGGAAGCTTACATTATCTCATCATATACATATTCATGTTAGTATAGAGAAAAAAAGATTAAAATAATGGTGGGAAAGTAAAAAAAAAAAAAAAAAATTAAGCAGGAAATTAAATATTACAGACCACTAATTATTCTTACCTGTTATTTTTCTATAAATAAATTACCCACCATCAAAACTTTTTTTTTTTCTTTTTTTATTCCAAACCATCTTCTTATTCTTCTTCTTCAGTTCATAGATTTGCTCTTGAATTTCCTAACTCCCTTCAAATCAACAACGACCACACTTATGTTGTCTTTGCTTCCTCTCTGCAAAGCCATCTTCGACAAATACTCTGCCGCCGACATCGCCGCCGGATCTTTACCTTCTCCTCTTTTCTCCGCCGGAAGCAAAGCATTTTCGGCCATGGCATTCTTCTTGTGCCACAACAAAATCCGTTTACGAGCCATATCGCACACTTCTTCGTTCGTCATCACATCCCAAAGACCATCGCTCGCTAAGATGAGACAGTCATCTTCTTTCACTCGTCTCACACAAGTCACCTCCGGATCCGGTATCACTGATGGTTTTAGGTATCTATCCCCTGTTAACCAAACCGGTTTAAGTATACTAACTATCGAAAGAACCAAATGAGATCATCTTAAAGTAAAAAAAGCATACCAATTGATCTTGACATGGCGAGCACACCGAAAACACGAGCCCCGTTCCACTGGATTACTTTCCCTCCTGCTGCTTCTATCCTCGCCGCTTCATCTTCTCTATCCGGCTAAGTAAAATAAACGTAGAGCCAAAACCACTATAAGAACGTTGACCATTCTAACAGATACTTATATGGCTCTGATTGGTAACAAACGTCACAAGAATTCATCAAGCAAAGTTCCTTTTTTTTGCCATTTTGTCATATTACTTAATTAGAATCATTCCTCATAGAAACTGCGATATCTACCTAAAAAATTATAGTATTATAAATTATTACTTACTTTGTGATCGACCGACAAGGCGAGTGGCGTTTTGCCGCGGCACAGAACCGCTCTCGAGTCGCCGGAGTTAGCGACGAAAATATGCGTAGGAAAAACAATGGCGACCACCGAGGTGGACCCCACCGTTTCCGGGACGAAGTCGATCTCTGAGTCAACCTTCATAAAGGAGTTGAACAGAGCTCTCTTCCACTTCTCTTGCCACGTGTCACCGTCGCAAAACTCCGGCTTCTCCTTCACTATCTCCTCCGTCAACGCCAAATGCATCCTCTCCCGGCAATAATTCGCCACCTGTACACACAAAAAAACCGAATCAAAGAAAGAAGAAAATCAGATCTCAAAAAACCCAGATTTTGCTGTTTTGCTACTCAATTTCCGAATCGAATCGGTTTAACTAAACCGGCTTTTTACCTGAGAACCACCATGGCCATCGTAAACACCGAAGAAATGAGCACTCGAGTGAGGATTGAATCCGTTAGTGACTCGACCATCGAGCAACGAAATCGAAGAAACTTGAAGGAATCTAGGAATCGTCGAGACGGAATCTTCCATCTCTGGTCGTCTTCCACAAATCGAAGTGACTCCATATAAAGGCACACTCTTGAACTCGAAGAGACTCCTGCTCTCTGTTCTACTGATTACTTTCTTCTCGCTCTGACTCGGCGATCTCGGATCAAACTCATCTGAGCCGTTGATTTCTTCTCCGGCGGAGATATCCACGATGACGTCTGATACACCTGCCGCAGCTGATGATAATGAGGAGGATGGTGACGAATCCTGTCTCGAGCTGATTCCAAAGGACGAATCTTTCATCGTTTCTTCGCCGGAAATTTTAGACCCAGAACCGGAACACGAACTTTCCGGCAACGAACCGTTGCAATAGCTTCTAACTCCGATTGGAGGCTCAGCGAACGGTCTAAATGGAACAGCTACTGCAGGAGAAACTTCGTCCATTGATTAAAAAACCCTAATTGCTTGATCTCTCTCACACAAAGACCCAAATCAGAGATTTGTTGAAGAGAGATTTGTGCCAAAATTTTATGAATTGGGTTTTTATTGGTTTTTGATTTATGGTTGAGTTCCAAAAAACGAAAAGTCGACAGATTTCTAAAGGAAATTTAAGAGACAATTAACTTTATTTGAGAAAAGATGAAGACAAGAAACTCATGACTCAGAAGAGGAAAGTGAGACAACCTTAGCTAGCACATGAAATAGATAGAGATGCCAAATAAAGAAAAAGTAAAATTTTCGCAAGAAACTACCACCCAGAAAATTTCTCAATTTTGTTTTCTCAATCAGGGTTTCCTGGATTCTGGGCAATTCGTTTAAACCATTTAGAGATTTTGTGATCTCTCTCTCCTCAATTAATTTCCAAACGAAAACAATTTCCAGATTTTCTTGTGTGTGTGTTCTCTTCAGAAACAAAAAGGAAAAACAAACAAAATGTTTAGGCAGAAATCGGTTTTAAATCTGCCACATATGACATCTGAGACTTTGAGAGAGAGAGGTCTTTATTTATTACACAACAACACAGCACAAAGAAGTGTTTTTATCTCAAAAAGAAAGGTGATTCAGTCAAGAAAAATAACTTCGAAAGACATTACTTTGAACTTTTGCCTATATGGAAACAATAATGTATATTTATATTCTTTTCTTTTACAGAAGAAGATTAGAAGTACATATTTTCTTTCCATTTACTATCGTGTCATCCCTCCATTATTGCGTATCTATATCGTAGATTTTGAATACAGATGTTTATCAGTTTTCTATAACAAAATATCCCGCATGTTTAAAAACGGTCGGTAATTAAAATTTTGGATACATTTTACGCTACACATGTAAATGGAAGATATTTTATATTACAACGATATTTTCTGAAAACTATTTATTTATATTAACCACACTCAAACATTTCATCCGAAGTTTCTGAAACACATTTTAGAGATTTTAAACCGAACAATTGAGTACACATTCCTTATCAACTTGTCATATTAGTTTTATTAATAAAGGTGAGATTCATCATACATCATATTCATAGGAAACACGTCGACGGACAACAAAGAACGATAGAAAACATAGTAAGAAATTTAATTTTTACATAGTTGATGACATTCGATATTTTTGAAGCCTTATGTTAATTAACCAAAAGCCATACCCGTAATGGCAGCTGCATGCAGACGTTTATATGGCTTATCCACACCGCAACACACATAACTAGTTCTGTTATACTTCTTATTCATGAAAAAACCAATTCTATTAAAACCCGAACAAAAGTTCTCATTCGTTATAGACTTCTTCACTCACTCACTCACTCCCTCACTCCCTCACTCCCTCACTCCCTCACTCACAAAATTGTCTAGACTTGTGTATAAGTTTCTATTGTATAAAGAAGTTAAAATGTAACGCTTTTAATGCTGTTTTTGTAGTTATTAAATCGGTATACCTTAAACTACATCGGTATGTTGACCAAAAAAAAATACATCGGTATAAAGGTTACCCACTTTTTTGTCGTCAGCAAGGTTAGTAGCAGTTAAACCTGCAGTAGGCTATACTCTTAAACAAAACAATCGATTTCAATTTTAATGAATAAATAATGAAAATTACATTTATGTATAGACTTCCAAAATCATAAAATGACGTTTCGGTTGAACTAAGAATAGAAAGAGAATCAACGAAAGAAGGATGCTGTGTTGTCAACAGATGATTATTTTTCCAACAGTTGTAATTAAAATCGTATTGAAAAAAAAGAAATGAATAACAATCATGTGGGTCCTACGTTTGTCGAGAAACAAAAGGATGGTAGCCACGTAAACAGAGAGATAGTCATAGATTTGATGAGCAAAAGAGGATGATGTGTACGGTGATAGATCTGTTAGTTGGGGTGGCGGGAAATATGAGGAAGAGGTTCATTGCACTGACAAAGACGGTTTCTTTAAACTTCCGTAAATATCTTGTGTTTTTTTTTTTTTTTTTGTTATTGCTCTATGTTTTGTTTATTAATTTTTATTTTAGGAAAATAATAGTACTTGCTCTATGGTTTTTATTCCACGTGTTACGTCATTATTGGATTCATGTACTGATATGTGTATGAAAGTGGCTTTTGGATGGACAACAAACAAAATACCCAAATTCATATCAAATTCAGTGAACCAATCATATATATATATACATATATTTGAAAGGTAAATATAAAATATATGTTTGTATGATTTGATAAACAACACTTTTAATGGATATTTAAATATGAGTCATATATTTTTTGGGATATACGTAGATAGACTCATTTAACTTTTTTAAAAGTTCATTCAAAATATTTTAAAATATACAGTATCATATCGTATAATTTGGTATGAAAAGAACAAAATCAATTCATATTGTATATGTGTCACAAATTTGGAGATAATCAATTGCCACACGGATCTGCTTACAAAATGCTGTGTAAAGTTGTGGTCACATAACATCTAATAATATAAAAATTGATGTCGCGTAGTTAATTTTAATATTTTTGACGGCAGTTAATTTTAAATAATATGACATAAACACTAAAAATAAGAAGTTATGACATCAAGACTTTGTAAAAGATGCTTAGTTTCAATATATTTCAGTTGTTAAAAAAAAAAAGAAGTTATATTATAAATAAAAAAAAAATATTATATGTTTTTTTAATTTTTATACGGAAATTTAAAACATATAAAATACTAAAAATTTAGAAAGTTAGGTTTATTACTGAGTTATAGCTCTAACATAATGATATAAGTTCCATTTTTGTGTAGAATTTATATATGTCATTCGAGAAAGCTACAAAAATTAGGCTCTGGGAATTACTATTTGTATTGGGCCTGGCCCATCTACATTTCAACCTTTTTTTCCTTTTTTCTTAAAGATAAAAGTTTGACTTATGCCAGCACATCACATGCTTTTACTTTATTGTTTTCACAAAAGTCTGGTCTTTTCTGTTTTTGTTGAAACAATTAAATTTCTGTACACAATACGAAATTGATTTTCCCATGTGACGATTGGCAGATTTTTTTTGTAAACAGTACGAAATTAATTAACATCCATCAATAGGGATCAACGTATAATATTCGAGAATATTATATTTTGATATAGAGTGTCGACACAAAACAAAACGAACAAATTCATCACAGATCAAAATTCTTCTCACTTAAACTTACCTTTGATCTGTGGCTTAGATTTTTTATTTGTTTATTTATTTTTTGCTCCTTAATTTTCTTGACCAGAAAAGAAAAAAGAAAATTAAATAAAAACACGAACCTCTTGCTCAAGTGCTAGCCTAAAAAACAGACATCAAAAGATTCTCTTACATGGCGTCTATTTTCAGAGCTTCAATTTCACTTGAGCTACGACCAAAGGTAACAATCAAGCTTCTTTTACTCACTCATAGACTTGGTTACTCGAATTCCAGAAACTAGAGATGGTATTAGTCCCTAATCTTGTGATTTTGGAAAATTTAGGGATTCGTTGTTTAGATTCCAAGAAATAGAAACTGAGAAGCTGATAAGATAAATTAGGATTGTGGGTATCATTCAAAGTAGATTATTTTCCTTCGATTAGTGATGAATCGTTTTGGTATTTTGGAAGGTTACTTGCACGAATCTCTCTACGAAAGAACGATTTGAGTTTCAGAAGAAGAGTCTGAGAAAAGAAAGGCTCAATGTTAGGTTATGTGGCTTGAAGCCTAATAAAGCACAAGGATCGATTCAAGGGATTAGTGTGGTAGAAGAGAAAGAGTCTAACAACAAAACCGGTAATTAAACCGACCCCGTCCTTTTTTCGTTTTCGAATTAAAGATACAAAAGATTATACGATATGCTTTTGACTGTCTGCAATCACGAAATTGGAATCAGCATTTCTGGTTAAGCAAATGTCACCATTATCTAGACAGTAATAACATCGGTTTGTATCGGTTTGATTGTTGGTTCTAGATTACGGGGTTGTTGGGGTTCACCACGTCGGTTTGCTATGCGAGAACCTAGAACGGTCGCTCGAGTTTTACCAGAACATTCTGGGCCTTGAGATCAACGAGGCAAGGCCACACGATAAGCTTCCGTATAGAGGAGCATGGTTATGGGTAGGTTCAGAGATGATTCACTTAATGGAGCTTCCAAATCCAGATCCTTTAACAGGTAGACCCGAGCACGGAGGCCGGGATCGACATGCTTGTATCGCAATCCGTGATGTTTCGAATCTGAAAGAGATTTTGGACAAAGCTGGTATATTACACACATTTTGCTTCTTTCTTCTTTTCTTGTTCTTTGCTTAAAGAATGTTGTTTTTGGTTTTCTTTTGTATTATTAATCGAATGTGCTTTTCTGCTTGTTTTTGTAGGGATTGAGTATACGATGAGTAGGTCAGGGAGGCCAGCGATATTCACTCGTGATCCAGACGCAAACGCTCTTGAGTTTACGCAAGTTTGATTCTTGATGGATTATAAGTTGTAGATACTTATATACTGTTCAAAGTCTTACCTCCAAAACATCGAATTTAGTTTATTGCCTTTATCTGAACACTACAAACCATACCAAATAAAACAAAATTTCTCCCGAATGTTCAAGTTAAAGATAAGATTATGATAATGCCACCGTAGTTCATATCCGGTAGGATTCATGTTTGAGTTGTAGACGGGAAAAAAAACCACAACTGTAAAATAGTTCTTGTTTGTACCTTTTTTCTTTCACCACAATAAATAAGAGAACAAATAAACTGGTTGTTGAAGCTACAGACATGATGACGATACACCAGATTCAAACAAGTTCAGGTTATTTAGTATATACAGATTAGACTATATTTGTGGTCAAAAGGAGCCAAGAGTAGTGGAGAGGTCTATGCGTGAACGAGATCGCCACTCTTGTATAGCCGATTTGAGAGTATGGTTCGGTGTGAGATCGGAATGTTTAAGCCGATGCTTAGTCACAGGTGACACATTTTGATGTTTTTGAAACCAAGCCTTTATCGCTTTCCCTTCGTACGTGAATCCATCTGCTGCTATCTGTGGATCTTCCATTATTTCCTGCGATCAGTTCAATCAAACATTGTTTCAACACCAACCATTAAAGAATTGTAGCCTTTGTGATAGTTTTGTTCAATTACCTTCAGAATTGGACAGTAATAGTGAGCTGGTGGTCGTGCGTTCGCTTGTTCTGTCCTGAGCCTGTTATTTGCAGATTCAAGAATCCGTTTGAGAGCGGGCAAGACTTGTGTATCAAGATCTGGTCTGTCTCTGCATTTGAGCTGCGAACACTTGATTGCGATGCGAGCTAGTTCTTTGGCTTCCTCCACGGGCCAATCTCTGACTGATCCATCTAACATATCCCCAAAAGAGCCTCTCTTTACTGCGTCCTCCACACAGAAAAGAAGACCGTTGGGATGTCGAGCGGTTAAAAGCTGGAGAATTATGATTCCAAATGCGTAGAGATCTGATTTTGGTCTGATTGTGCCGGTTCTTTGGTATTCCGGATCCATGTAGTAGAGTGTACCGGCGATGATCGAGTTTCTGTAAACCGTAACACTGTCTGGTGCCTCTTCTGACATGAGCTTGGCCAGTCCAACGTCGCCGATTTTGCTAACGAAGTTTCTGTCCAAGAGAATGTTTCCTGGCTTGAGGTCTCGGTGAACGATTGGCTCGGGTTTTGAGTTGTGGAGGAAAGCTAAGCCACATGCGGTTTCGTAGATGATTCTGAATCTGATGAACCATGAGAGAGATGGTTTCCCCTTTTTGGGAGAGATGTGAGCATCTAAGCTACCGTTCTCCATGTACTCATAGACAAGACAGCCATTTTCAGGACAAGCACCAAGAAGAAGAACCACGTGAGGATGACGAAGCTGGCTTAAGACTGAGATCTGCAAAGTAAAAATTGGACAGTAGAGAGTTAAAATGCTGCTGTTGTTATTAGAACATGAGACTGCTTAGTAATTTACCTCTCTTAAGAATTCTTCTTTTTTTTCGATTGAATCGGGTTTGAGAACTTTAAGAGCTACTGGGGTATGATCGAGGCTGCATTTGTATACTTTACCGTATCCTCCTTCGCCGATTATTTTACGGGATGAGAAATTATCTGTAGCCGCAGATATCTCTTCTTTTGTGTACTTTCTGTACCGCCCGTCTCTCAAGAAGAGCTGGTCAATGACTTTCTGTTTCTCTATGGATTGTTTGAGAGCATCTAGCTCAGCTAATTGCCTCTCGCAGAACTCTTTAGCTAACATTGATTTTGCGTCTTCGACCTCTTTTACGGCTTTTAGATGCTTTTCTTTCTCTTCTGCCGCTGCTTTTCTCAGCATTTCTTCTTTTTCCAGAGCAGTTATGACCCTTTTCGTTTCTTTAATACACTCAGAGGAAAGAGACTGGACCTGAGATCAGAATTTGGTTTAGCTAAGTTTACGAATCCATCAGATGAAAAATGACGAAAGACCGTCCAAAAGATTTAGACCTGTGTTTGTTTATGAACTAGCTCTTCACAAGCTTTCTTGTACATGGAAAGAGTGGTTTGTACTTCTTTTCTTAGCTGCTCTACCTCAGACTTAACATGTGACTGCAAAAACATGGTATTGAGATCAAAATCAATATGATTTTGTCATGTAACATAGAATAACGCAAGAGGGGTTAAGTATCAAATGCTTTACCTTTGATGTTTTTTTGTCAGCTCCAGGATTCAACTGCATTTTACTACTGGAGACAATACTGTGTCTAAGGATTGAACGAATGTGTTCGTCATTGACCAAACCGATATCAGTTGAAGATTGTGCATCAGAAAACACTTGAGAGGTTGGATGACTATGCGGCAAAGAGGCAGGCCTTCGAATTTGCTTCCTGCCTGAGGATGATATGGATGAAGCAGACAAGCCTGTCTTATCTGAGCGTGTGCGGCTGAAAGATTCTGTATAAGCTTCTGCTCCTTCGGGTATACGGAAACTAGATGATGAATCTGTTGAAAGTTTCACAAAGAAACATAAACCACACAACAGTATCAATAAAAACACATTTCCCTTTTCCATCTTAAATTCACACTTTAGATCAATGAAAGTGAAAGTTCTAGGGACTGATATATATATATATAATTATACCTGCAGATAACTGATTGGTTGATTTGGTTAATATTCTATCTTTGCAAACAACATATATCTCGCACGCCTCTGGAGCTTCTCCTAGTACCGTTAATGGCATTTCTTGTCCTTTTTTCCTGGCGAAACCAAATCAAGCGTTTGAGCAAGATCATGCCACATACAATGCAAATACACAAACCGAGATAATAATAATCACTGAGATATATAACTTTCTGAAAAATCTCATTTGGAATCAATACCTTGTGAGGAAATTTGAAGAGCAAGATCCAATCACTAAACACTCGACCTCACTATCTGATATGTAATTCACAAGTGCCTTTGCGGGATCATGATGTTCCAGCAACAAAGTCTCAACCTAAGATTCACCAGTAAATATTCAATGAGACCCAAAAGTTACAAAATCCGTACAAAATAAGTGGGAGAAAGAACAACTCACTTTGTTGGATTTGCAGATCTTCTTAAACGGCACAAAAACCTGTTCGAATTCCTTTCTCCGATCTCGTTTATACATCGAAACAACACTCTCCTCCAATTCCTCCACTGGAATCTTCGATCCAGCTGCAAAAACAAAATCACGGTCAAAAATCTCTCTCGTGAAATCGCGAAATGGGTGACACTGATTAAACGAGATCCGAGAAAAATCAAACTTACAAGGAGATGGAATACTGGTGACGGTAGGCATGACGTGAACTAGAACTAGCCGATCGATTTTGGGGAGGAGATTTTCGACAGCCCAACGAAGAGCGCGACGGCTAGCAGCTCCTCCTACGGCGCCGCCGACGGATCCTTTAACGGCGACGGATACCAATGAATACGCCGGAGCTCCGCCGATCGATTCGAAGAACTTGTTTGTCATCACTACTATGAAACTTGCTTCTAGATTTTTTGTGGTCACAAAGAGAGATGAAATTGGGTTTTTGGAGAGACCGCGAAAGCGTAAGTTGACTTGGTGGGAAACCAGAAAAGCTGGTGATGTATTTATTGACTCGTGAAATTAATAAAGCGCCTACTTCTTAGAAAAGTCTTTTTCGAAGTTTTGTTTTTGTGTTTTTGGTTCTAATGGGGCTTCTATTTTTGGTGAAATTTAAGATTTGTACGCTTAGTTTCTGATTGTACTGATTAGGCACCAATTAATTTGTTAGGTGACATTCTAAGATGATTCCTGAACACATAATTATGTGAAATTTTTTGTCTATTCTATTAATGATTACCTCATTTAGATTCTCTTTTTCTTGTAACTTTGTATGACTCCGGTTCCTTTTGTAGTATTACCAGCTAAACTGATCAAACTTTTTATTTTTGTTGTTGTTTGTTTGTTAAAATTTGAAGTTTTTTTTCAAGGTGGGGGAATACCTTCAGATTATATATGCACCTTTACACTTTAATTTAACAAATTACGTTCAATGAATTGATAGTTACACTTACACTTTCACATTTGGACCGCGTAAAAGACAAAAATTCAAGGCTAATTTTGATATTATTGGAAAACAAATGCAAGACTACTAAGGAATTGTTAAAAAGAATGTTCCATATTCTCGTTAGGGTTGACATTAGCAAAAATGTATATAAATTACATTTTGAATAAATGTGCAAATAGCGTATTTAAATAAATGATGTACTAGTATTCAAATAAATATTTTTTTTAATTCATTTGACGTCGATTACTATTCTATAAAGAGGGAAGGGGTGAAGAGAACTTGGATTTATTAATTTTAATTAAGATAAATATGTATTGCTTGTTCTAAGATTCTGTATGTGATGCAACGAACATATACCCTTTCTCTGTTTTTCTTTCATATAAATAAATGATTCAAGACGGCATACAAACCACTTGCAATATCCAATATTTACAGTTTCCGGAAAGGAAAAAAAAATGCATGGAGTATTCCATCTACCATCGGAAGATTTCATACTCTTTTTGTAGACACTGATGATAAATGGATACCATACCATTTGTTCACGTTTACAATTTCAAAACATAATTTTGCTTTATAACATTCATAAAGTTTTCACTTGCCTTTTCATGATTATTCAGTATAAATTTTGTTCAGCTTAAGTGTTTTCGCGCTCACACATTATCATCATTTACCATTATGTACTCATAGACAAATAAGAAGCATATAACTCATGTTTAGAAGTTGATGACTAGTAATTGACATGCATAACTTTGAAGAAGAATCTAACTCTTAATGAGAAAAGTGAGTTACTAAGTATCATAAACAATCAGAATTGAAGAACTATCACAATTCACCAAGGTCTTTCTCTCAATTCTCAGTCACTTACCACAAAACAAGACTGGTTTTTTTTTTCTCTTTTCCATTTCCATCATCCCTTAGATTCTTCTCTATACACATTTTCCTAGTAAACCCACATACCGTTCTTCGATCGATTATTTATATTTATATACAAACCAAAGAGTGGAGAAGAGGATCATACTCTGAGATAGGTTCGAATCATGGTTGCTCCAGTTGGATCAGAGACGAGATGATTAATGAGACCTTTTCTCAAATTGTTTGGTGCAATGATGAACATGTAGAAAGCAAAGAGAACGAGGTCTCCTGATGTTAATGTTGATCCTAAAAACCCTCGCCACATCCTGCGTAAGTGAAATGGAAAAAAATAATTATCAGTGTCTTGTTTCATACATTGTTTGTTATGAAAAGTCAGCGTCTTAAATACTATTTTTTCTTGCTTTATGGAAATTCTAACCTGAAAATTTTCAATGTCTTGCTTACCATTTTGGAAGGCGAAAGAAAGTGTGGAAGAAGCTTCTAATGCCTTCGATATCGAGTTGAAGTATGAGCGCAAGACCAAAGAGAAAGAATGCTCTTTGCCTTTTTCTTTCTTGTGGCCACAAAGTATCCCAAGCTGCCAAAAAACATAAAAAAAAAACAAAAAAGGAAAGCTTCCAAGTAAGATTTATCATTCTCTGAAAGCATAGTTAACTAACTCTGTGGTTTAGCATAGCTCACCTTGTCTTGAAATATTACTGTTGATGTGTTTTGTGTAGGAAGTAGTCTCTTGTTTTAGTATATCCGCGATCACTGAAGCGTAGCTTGGAGCTTCAGACAAAGATCTCACAACTGAATAGCCTGTTTAAATGAGAGAAAGTTAAGTCAGAGATAATGCAGACTCCAAATGTGAAAATTAAGCCAGAACAAAGAGTTTATTGGTAAAGGCTTGCTCTTACTACCTGTTGCGGGATGTACCATACTAGCGGCAGCACCAAAAGCGAGATTCTTTTGTTCGGTGTTTGGCAAAGAACCACCAACAGGGATATAAGACCATTCCTGCAAACAAAAGCAAATACCAAAGGTTTTTATGCTGTTCAATAAGTGAAGCTTTACAATCAATGGAGTTAAAATTCTCTTTCTATGTATCAGTTACCTCTTCGTAAGTCTTTAGAACTCGAATACCGAGTGTATCTAATCTTAACATGAGCTTCTTTTTAAGCAAATCAAAAGGCATGACATCTTTCGAGGCCAAACACGTCTCCTGCACTTGAATTCCAGCTGATAAGCAATAGACTTTTTGCGATCACGATTAAATAAAAAGAAGAGAACAACAAAGAGAACCTCAAAGAACACTCTTGTCTTGGTCATAGGCATGGCGTACAGAAACGTAGGATACTCAGCTTCTAAGCTCCGAACTTCCTGGTTTGTATAATCTCTGTAATCCATGAAAACCATCTGCTCTGGATCATATGGACTGTTTTCAACCTAAAGCGAACAAATGGAATAGTCTCAAAAGATTCATTAATTTCTCCAGGAATGGATATTACACTGGAATATCATATATTCATACACTATACCTCAACCTCAACGCCGTAAGCAGTTTGTACAGAGACTCTTGGTCCCCCGACTTCGTATTGCAAGAGCTTCCCCGAAGCTGCTCCAGAAGCAACAGTGGCAAGCCTGCATTTGCAAGAAGTCAGAACCTTTACATTGGTCCAGCACGTTTTATCAAAACTACAATAGTACCATCTCTGATTCATGTATTGTACCTGCACGGAACGACGGTATTCTCTTCACAGGCAACAAGTCTAAGGCCATTAGAAGCCTCTGTTATGCTCTCGACTTTGGAGCTAAGATACGAGACACCTGACTCTACACACCTAGGAGGAATCAATTAAGGATTACGTATGTAAACATTTCAAAGCCAGGGAGGTGAAAAAAGAAGTCAATAGCTAGAGAAGAGTCTCTCCAAAAGGTGCAGAGTAGAACCATTCTATTTACCTCCTCAAGAGCTCCTCGTGGAGTAAACGTCGACTAACTCTTCCATAAGCACGGCCAATGGTAATGGGATTGTCATCGTCTAGATACACAATAGTATCTCTCCAAACATGCTCAATACATTTTTGCAGCCCAAGATCTTACATATCAACACAAAACTAGTTAGTACATTAACCATGAAAGATAGCGACTACTACTAGATAATGGATCTATGAGATTTTTATACCGTTGAATTCATCTTCCCAAACACCGTAATTGTTTGTGAAAGGAAGATCTGGACCAATCAGTCCAACTTTTAGTCCTAGCTTAGCTGATTCTGCAGCCAAGGCTAAACCAGCAGGACCACAACCAATAACCACAAGGTCCAAAGCACCATCACCGACTGATATAGGAGGCAACTGTAAAAAACACACACAATCAACATAAACTTCAAAAACCAAACACGAATTCTAATGTTCCCTTTCTCAATTTCGAAACCCACATAATCAAAAGGGGACTGAGATTTCTACTGAGATTACGAGAGGTTTGTTTTCTTCCAAAACAAGTCAAGGCAAACATAAGACTGACCTTATCGACAAGCTTAGACTGTTCATCCATGTCTTTGTTCTGCTGCATTTGAACGAATAGAATCTCTGAACCACCAGCCTTCACGAAATCTTCATCGTCGGCGAAATCCTCTCTCACCGCCACGCAACTCTCACTACCGGAACCTGCTCCGCCGCCTTTAGCTCTGACTCTACACAGACCGCAACGGAAATTCCTAAAGCTGTATCTCTTAACCACCGGAAAATTCCTCCGGGAGCTTCGAGAGGGAAAAGCTGTCACCGCCATTGCAGCGAAATTCCGAGCACCAACACACTCCATTTTCCTCCCAAGAAGAAAAAAACAAAGAAAAAAATCTTCACCGCGAAGACGAAAATCTGTCACACTATTGTTGCTGTTCTATTGAGGTTTAAAGGAATCTGGCTTTTTCCTTTTATTTACTTAATTTTTTTTCTGAAGTAATATTTTCTCACAAAGACTGGGAAAAAGAGCCTTAAAGACGAGAGGACGAGAAGGAGGATAGAACCACGGCTACGCGGGGACTCTTTTCGCCACGTGTAATTCTCTCATTGGTGAAAAACTGTACAAGCTGCCTAATCGTCCTTTGTTTTTGTACAAACACAACGTGTATTGTTTTGCGTCCGTTCTTTCAGTAAGCGACGTCGTTTACCGAAGCTCTTTAATGGGCACTAAGAAACGGGCCTGGTATTAAATCGCATTTCTCTGCTGCTTACATGTTTTTTTTTTGTTGAGTTTAGTTTAGATCATACTAAAATGGAGCTAATCGGAACTCCATTTTGATTTTTGTTTCTTAACTAAGACTATATCTTTGAATGGATTTATTATTTAAAAAATATTAAGTGTTGAAGGGTCAATTGGGTTTAAATGCCGTTTCAGGTACTGAAAAATAAAACAAAAAAAATAAGCCGGATTTAGTTTTTGATTTTTGTTTTTTAAGCATTACCATTCATAGTAACAAAAATTGGAACAGACAAAAAGGTAAGATTTCTTCTTTCCAATGGATACCCGTTTTTTCTCTCTCATGTAGAGTTTTTTTTCCGGTTCAATCGGTTTTTGTGTTGGTTGTTGTTAACAACTTAATACCAACAATCCCTTTTCTCAAAACTGCATACGTAAGACGATGACACCGCATCAACACGAATTATATGAAAAAAACAATCTTGCATGTATATCCAACGATGACTATGAGGATCAAATATTCCTGCAAAAAGTTAAGTTATTGGGCCGAATCATAGTCTTCTGAAACTTCAACCCTTTAAGTCATAAGAGTTTGTCTTTGTCATCTGAAAATTAGCGTTGACTTTAGTTGTCAGGGTCAACTCTCCGTATCTCAACCACAAGTGAAATGCACACAAGTAACAAAATCACACTTCCAGAAAATTCAAAATCGCATTGCCAAATGAGTTAAACTCAGTTTCAGTAACCCAGGAGAGAAGTAGTTCAGATAAAGAAAAAAAAGGGAAAAAAAAAATCCAAATTTTCAAGTTTCTTGATACCAAACGAACTAATACCATTGCAATTGAAGAGCTTATAAGAGAACAAGGCCAAGTTCAGCTGGCTTCAATGCACTTCTCAAACGGTAGTTATAGAGATAGTAGTGAAGCTGACCATCTCCTGGACCAAACTTTAACTCTTTCAAGAAACTCTCATTGTGCATCACATCCAACGCGTTGAACACGTCGAAACCCTTTTGCTTAGACACGATTAGCGCATCATTCATCAGCTGAAGAAACGAGGTCTGTGTGGCGACATTGTAGTAAGAATAAGCAGCTTTCAATATTGTGTAGTTCGGGTTACCAAGGATAGTCGAAGGGAGAGTGTAGAAGCTGCAGAAGTCAGTGACATCATGAGTTTCAGGGCTTTCTACTAAGTAACTGTCCACAACATCTTCTCTCGGGAGTAGCCAGTGCTCGACGTCGTTCTCGTCAAAGTCAGTCGCGACTCCGAACTGGCTAAGGTAGTTCCTAAGCAACCTTGTAACAGCCGGGACATCGCGTGGTTCCATTTTCCTGAACCCGGGAGTGACCGGTGCATCAGGTAACTTGTAGAGCTTTATGGTTCTGCTCATCGTCATTCTTGCACCAAGCCTTGAAAACCCAACATCGATTAGCTTCTTTGGGTTCAACGACCTGTGCCAGTATTGGCAGGTGGTGATGGGTGTAGGAAGTATAACTCCTGCGGTATAAGCTGCTTGCCATATATTCTCCAAGTGAACCCTTCTCGTTACCTCCTTGATCATGACCGGAGCAAGTCTCTTCGACCTGAGCTTCTTGTGAACACACAAGAAATTGATCTCAGCCATTTTCACAACCTCGTCGCGCACCCTGATCCTTGCTGGCACACCGCTGATGAAAGCAACGAGTTTTTTGGAGGTCTTGGCACGGACACCAATGTGCCAGCTCTGGTAATAACCAGGAGGGCGAAGAGCCCACCTGAGAAACTCCTTGGAGTAATTGAACCTGAACATGTTCTCATCATCCTCAACATAGTTGTTCTTGAGAAGGTTGTATACCTCTGAGCACATATCATCTGAGCTCATATCGCAGGTGGTCCATTCGTAAACAGAAGGAAGGTTGTACGGCTCTTGCTTGACCTCAGATAAAGGAGTTGCAGGCTCAATTGGGCCTTCAGGCAAACTCGTGTCCCCGACATCCTTGAACTGCCCAACGGGCTGAGTCTCCCAGAATTTGTGGGTCTTTGACTCTGACATTGAATCCTGGAACCTTCGAACTATTGTTTCCAGTGAAGTATCGTCCTTGGCTAATGCGTTAGCTTCAACGATTTGATCTGCTTTCTCTTCTGCAGAGCCAGGTGGTGAATTGTTGTCTGCCATTTCCTACAATTTACAGTGCTTAACAGCTAAGTTCCAGAAAACTAACGAGTAAACCAAAACATCAATGGGAAAATTCACCAATGCATTTCTAAAAACTAATTCAAAGTATCACATCCATATGTCTACCGTGCTAAATCGCGCCGAGATCGAACTCAAGACAACAAAACCACAATTGAAATCTAACAAGACATCCCGAAATAAGTTCATTTCCTTGAGATAATCGTGAAATGAACGGAAGAAGAATCCAGTACTTAGACCAACGACCGATCAGATCTTACGATACTAAGATCAAACGAAAAAAAAAAAAAGCTGAAGATTTGAGAACTCACCGATTTTGCTCAAACAGAAGACTCCGCGGATTCTCACCGAAACCAGATCCTCGAAGAAAAAGCTATCAGATCTCTGGAACGATTTCTCGGATTGGAGCTTCCAGATTCGAAATCAACGAGACTAGGGTTGCAGAACGGAGTAAACTCTTCTGAGAGGAGAAAGCATATGGAATGACGATGGGCGTGAAGTGTGAAGTAATGGCCGGATAAAATCTTAATACTTCAAGTATATTGCATTTTACACCCTCTAGTTTTCTTCTTATTTTGATTTAACCCCAGTCTTTTTGCTCTTTACAGTGAATTAACTTTACAGTGATATGTTTCCTTTGTTTTTTGTCAGCGATATGTTTCCTTTTAATTGATACAATCGCTACTGTCCTTATAGCAGTCACCGCATATTAACCATCTTACAAATATTAAAACTTCTGAGTAACTAAAAACTTTGATCAACTTTTAATTCTAAGTGGATGAATTACTATCGTGCATGTATTACTAGTTTTCCATTCTTTTTCTAGAGAAAAAGATTTCCACTGCTACTAAAAGCTGTAACTATATACATATACGATAACTCCAACTCCAAACACTGAAATTAATTTCTCTTCGTAGTAAAACAAAACGAAGAAAAGACAAGTAAACTTTAGAAACGATTAAAAGCAATATTAAAAAGAACAAAAAAAAAAAATCAGCAAATTTTCTCGTTTCTCCAATATAGAGTCGAAGCTTTTATAATTAATCTCTGAACAAATATGACAACGTTTTTTTCCTAAGTGGATGGATCAGTGGTGATGAAACCTTTCGTCAGAGACTTGGAGAGTCTCGATGCCTTTGATCGCAGTATCGTATTGTTTTCTGGTGGAAGAAGATCTCTTCCCTTCCGACGTTGAAACCACCGGAGAGTTTCTTAATCCGCCGCCGGTACGGCATCTCTGTAGCTCCTCCGACGTTACTCTTCTTGATGATCCTGCTGATTGTGCGAACAGCGACGAGCTTGGCATCTATGAAGAAAGGAAAACAAAAATATTAATTACTCACCAGAGCCAGAAATTTTCTAAAAAATCTATACTTACTTTCACACAAGAATCACATTGTTTTACAAAATTTAGAACCCCATCACAAAGTTCATACATCAAAATATGAAAAGAACAGATGTTTATACCAATGGTTATGAAGTCCCCCTCTTAAAAAGAATTAATTAATTTTTACGCAGAAAACAAAATCAGATATGTTAAGTTAGCTTTTGGTTTCGACTTTACAATTTTTTTTTTTAATTCATTTTCACAGTTGAAAGCTGACTCTCATTTTGTTGAAAGGCGAAAGTTTTAATAAATACTAAATCTATATTTGATTTCGAATGCTGAAAATATATGAAGCTTTTAGTACATACATGAAATAAGTTAAAAATTTCAGTATGTTTTATTTATTTATTTTTTTATGTGGGGTGGGATTGTGGGAATATTCCAACCGGGATTTTTTATTAAAGCTAATGAAAAAACTCTCCCAAAGAATGGTTTTACAATTTGGATCAGTAAAAGAGCTAAAAGTTTGTAGCTTTGTTGGTTTCGAGAGAGAGAGAGAAAAAAAAGAAAACAGAGCATTTTTTTGTCATACCATTGGGGCTTTAACAGCCGCTGTTGAGATGTTTCCAGAGTTATCAAGAGCTCCTGACATTCTCCTTCTTGATGAATCCATCGGTGGTCTCCCTCCCTCTTCTTCGCCTTCAAGAGAGACAAACAAAGTTTTACACTTTTCTATAGCTTTGTACATTCTATTGATCATAGAGCTCTTCAAGTATTTAAAATTTTCACCTGCATATCTATCGATACTGGTCAATCCTGGGGGCAAACCCGCACTGGTTCCAGCTGCAGGAGTTACGAGGCCACGAGATGGAGGTGCGGTTAGTTGGGACTGCTGATACTTCAATATGGTCCAGTCAAAGACATAATCGAACTGAAACCCTGTGATTAAAGACATGATGTAAGAAAGTGCGGAATTGGGAAATAAAAACATGCGGATTTGAGGGGAAAGAAAAAAGCTTCAAAACCTTCTCGGATAAAGAGATCCCGGAATATTCTTTTGAGATAACCGTAATCTGGTTTATCATCAAACCGAAGCGAGCGACAGTAATGGAAGTAAGATGCGAATTCGGATGGGTAACCCCGGCATAAGGACTGCAGGAAGATGGGGAAATTCGTCAAGGAACAGTAATGAAAGTAGAAGGTTGAAATAAAGAATCAGACTTTGTAATTGAGACTTTTACCTCAATTGATGTAGATACTTTCTTTTCGCTTATTCTCTCATACTTTTGTTTCTTGGTTCCAGCTTTAAGTCCTTGCCATGGAAGACTAAAAAAATACCATGAAAACATTCTTATAAGGAATGCGAAGAACAAAGTAAAACAATAAGGCATGTAGGTAAGATAATACTCACCTTCCTTTAAGGAAATACATGAGAATGTAACCAAGAGATTCTAGGTCATCACGTCGGCTTTGTTCTATATAAAAGAAAAAAATAAGTCATTGATATAAGGACAGTGGCTCGAGCATTACAACACGAAACATCTAAAGCGGGTTTTTTGTTGAACTTACCAATTCCCAAGTGAGTGTTCATACTCGCATATCTTGCAGTTCCAGTGAGATTCTTATTTTCCCTAAAGAATATTAAAATGACGGGCTAGTTCAGAATTGTTAAGTATGAAGAAGATAACAAGTCGATTCGATTGTCTCACCTGTAGGGAATGTGCTGATGGGTAGTATTATCCCGGTATTTCTTAGCAAGACCAAAGTCAATGATGTACACCTTTAGAAACGAAAAAAGGGTTATTTTTGAGATGATACAAAGTAATATGAGAGCAAAATCAAAGATATAGGTGAAGGAAACCTGGTTTGCGCGTCTTCCTAAACCCATGAGAAAGTTGTCTGGCTTGAGATCTCGGTGAAGGAAAGATTTTGAATGGAAATACTCAACACGGTTGATCTAAACATAAAAACCAAAGATTCAAAATCAGTAAACAAGCCTATGGAGAAGGAGTCACATAGAGACAAAAGAGATCTACCATTTGATCTGCAAGCATGAGGACCGACTTCAAGGAAAGTTTCCTGCTACAGAAATTGAACAAGTCTTCAAGACTAGGCCCAAGTAAATCCATCACCAGAACATTGTAGTCACCTTCAACGCCAAACCACTTGACATTTGGAACACCAGCTGCCAAAATTAAAGGTTCAAAAGAGATTAGGGACATGGCTATAGCAGAGCAGATAGAAAGGAGAGAAGAAAAAAACATGCGATCGTTTATCAGAAATGAATTTTTACTTCCTCCCTGTAGAACTCTGTATAACTTCGACTCATATAGCAGCTGGGGATGCTTTGTCTTCACATTTTCCTGCAAAGAGAAAAGACTTAACTCTCAAAAGGCTACTAGCAATAACAAATCAACCTGGAAAATAAAATACAAAATCATGCTACATAAATGTTTTTACGCTCTGGCCATTAAAAAGCTACTAGCAATAACAAATATTTCTAAAAGAAGCTTTGAGACATTTGTGAAGATTAGAGTTTTGTACCAGATTGAAATGATTCAAGTAACTAAATAAATGTTTTTCAAGGTCTAGCTTTTTATAGTAAGCAACAAAGATTGTCTCCATCTGCAATTAAAAATCTTCACATAATATGCCTCAAAAACAAAATTTAGCAGCAAGAACTCACAAGCTTGATTGCGACTTCTTCGTTCGTTTGAATATGAGTACCTAAAGAAACCACAATCCAAGGGCAATGTTAGGGATTTAGATTACAATCCCAGAAAAATCTCAAGAACATATTGGAACAGTAAATGAATTAATTGAGAAAATACGAACCGAGATAGATCTCTCCAAAAGAACCACTTCCGATTTTCCGTCCAAGACGAAATTTGTTTCCCACACGAGCTTCCATCGATAATCGCGATTCAGATTCCAAAACCCTAAACTATGATAATCTCGACCACAAACGCCGACTCAAAAGGGGAAATGTATTCTCTTCCAAACCAAAAAAAAAAAACCCTTTAATCCACCAGAATCGCAGACCCAAAAAGATTCTCCCGGAAAAAAAATAAGGAAAGATCCAATTCAGGGCTGAAACAGGGAAACACAGAAAACCCCAATAGTCATCTTCGTTCTTCCCACTCCTCCTGGCGATCTGGGACAAAAATGCGTAATCGAATGTCGATTCTCTCCTCTGCTTTATCTCTCTCTCTCTCTCTCTCTCTTCACGCGAATTGAAAAAACGAGGATAAAAGGAAGCTTTGATGGGAAGAGAATGAAGGTGTTTCTCAAAGTTTGGGTCTTTTCTTTTTCTCTTCTCTTTCCTTTCTCTTTCCTGACGGGTAATTATTCTCAGCTGCACGGTTCCAAATATACCGGTTTGATTTAACCGAAAACTATTATCGGTTCAACCATTGGCTATATATCAATTTTAAAACCATACGTTATGTTAAACCCTGTATCATTCAACTAGTAGTATTTATTCACAATCAAAATGATTAATGATCGGTTATCATAACTTTTTGAATTTCAAAAAAAATTCAACTCATATTAATTACGTATGAATGATCCATCCATATCGGTTCTTTGACTTTACGGTTTACTTCAGTTGAACGAATAACACGCCCAAAAAAAAAGTGTTAAAATAAAATAAAATATTTAAATTTCGTAACTTGGATTGGCTACGAGAGAGAAATGGGTCACCAAGCGTGAGAGCTACGCGTGCCGTTGGTGAGCGGTAAAGATCGTTTGTCACGTGACTTCCATCCATTTAGTGAGTCCACTAACGTAATCCGCACGTGGCTCCTTTTTTTCTCCGTATTTTGACTTTTCTGGTCTAAATTCTAATCATATGTTGTACGAGGAGGAGATTTTAATTAAGTTGTACATTGGTCGGTCGAAATAAATAACTGTTTTCGTGGGAAAAAACCATTCAACATTTTTCTCATTTCCCCTTCAATTTTTTATGACTTGCTCTATATTTCTAGGTAATTGTATTAAAACCAAAATCGTGAGATCGAAGCGGATGTTACAAAGTAAATAAAAGGTAAAAAGGGTAAATATAACCCTACAAAAATGTAAAATTAAATTATTTGAAAATTTAATGGGTACAAGTTGTACCCTAGTTAAAGAATCACCCAAGACCAGGGGAGGAAACAAAAAATAATAATTTGAATGATCAGATTAGAAAAAAAATGGAAAATTATTAGTTCCTCGGACTTGGAAGACCCATGCAAGATATCCTAGGAGAGACACGAATCTTTGGGCTAGGCCTTGGCGAAGGTATTGGGCCATATAATCCCATCGTTCCGTTGACCACACGAGGAGAAAGGTTGACTTGCTCAAGCGCCCGCGTCTGCAGATCCATGGGATAGTCCCGCACACACCCAATCCTAGGCCCATTTCCGGTACTCCACTTGCACGAAAACGGCTTCTTTTCCCTGAGATCCTCCGCCGTAGGATCAACCGCGTCAGCCTTAGTTTCATCTCCACCGTCAGATTTCGACGGTTTGGTGCTTCCGTCGTTGGATCGCCGATGAATGTCGTCGTCAATCGCATTCAGCTGAAGAACAAAAATTTTAACCATCAGTAATCTCAAAGTTAAGCTAAATCTGATCACATTGATAATCTTTCATAATCTTAATCACCTTGACATTAGTGAGATCCACATGGTTTTCTCTTAAGAAACCGATAAATTCTTGGAAATTCTCCTCCGTCGGGAGATAATGGCCACTGTACGGCCACACAGCTTCTACAACTCCACCGTGAGAGACAATTCTACCGGCGGCAGTAATTGCGGCGCCGGAAAGAAAACTCGAATGCTGAAACCGACCTTTCTCTTTCTGACCAATGTAAAATTTTCTTGTTGTGCTCAACACGAAGATCCATTTGGTTCCTTCGATGGTCTCCACGAGGTTCTTGTTTTGTCGGTTGACTAGTTTCCCTCCTTCCACTACCACTTCGTACGCTTGTCTCTCTTTCTGTTAATCAAACCGAATTACAATCAAAATTAAAATCGGATTGTGTTTTTAATAACCGGAAATAACCGAATAACAATGTACATGTATACATACCGGACCAAGGTAGGTGATGCACTGGCGTTGAAGAAGAGTTCTTGGACATTTGGTGAGATTCACTTCCTTGCCATCTCCAATGTCTAACCTTTGGTATCATTCAAAAGATTTGCTAACGAATCAGCTCAACTAATTGAGAAGAAAAAAATCTTTACAAAATTGACTAAGTTTGTGTTAAATTTACCAGAAGAAAAATGGCTGAGTACTCGCGCTTTCTGACCAAATATCATAGTATAAGTGTAAATTATGTCCGTACCTATGTCGTGGGTCAATCTACATGAAAATAAAATAAACAAAACGTTATTATATATCAAAGTATAATAATCATATACTAAAGTACGAAAGTAAGAATTTAAAGCCGAAACTTACGGCTTCTAACCAATGTCGCAATGCCAATTTCTGGGCTTTATCATCTTTCAACAATCCTTTCCCTACCTATAAAAAACATACTATCAAATTATGATAATGTATGACATTAATTCATTAATTAATCATAAAAGGTTCATTTATTTGTACCTTTGCAGCTTTTGTCCCAGCTCTTGCCCACCTCGACACAGCCGTCTCTGGTTTCTCGTTGGTTCGGTTCGGTTCTGACGCTGCCAATTCCAATTCTTTCCACCTAAACCAAACACAGACACACACATATACTTTCATATAAAATATCAGGTTTGTATAAAGATTAACTTGTTGAAAATATTTTCTATTACAATATTTCTTGCTTCTTTTAGAATATAAACTTTAGTCCAAATGTAAAAGTCCCAATGCAAGTGTTTTCGATTGTTTTTTAGCATTTTTTTCTAAATAAGGGGTTAAATCTAATAAAAGTGAGATTGTATGGGGCATTTTCCATAATATTTAGAACTTAACGTACCATAACTCTTCTGCAACTACTGCGCAGTCAGCGAGATTGCGACGCGTTCGATAACTTTTGTAAACCTTTTGCAACGTAACGGCGGCAGCGTCAAGTTCCGTCGACGGTCTGGGAGACCAAAACGGCGTTGGTTGTGGCACACTTAACGCCGTTAAATTCCCTAAAATTCCCATTTTACCCCTGTTCCTTCTTTTCGGAGACGAGCCTCTTTCTTCGTCTTCTTCTTCTCTGTGCTCCACCTGGACTAGACTCGTGAACGAGAGACTCCTCTCAAGAATCATGTTATCTGGCTTCGGACCTTTCAGGTTTATACCTCTTCTCGTTTTGACCCCAATAGTTTCATCTCTGCAATTGTTTCCCTGCTCGACCAAATCTTTGAACGATAAAGTCTTCTCCAGATACATATTTACTGGTTTTTTCAGAATTCTTGGTGTTTCACACTCTTTAGAATCTTTCTTGAAACTGTTGTCTCTTTGTAAGTAACCAAAAGATAGAGCCATTAAAGTTTACCTGTAAAAAATTTAAAGTAATATATTCAGACAAGAGATAAAGAAAGGAGAATATATAGTTTCGGTTAAAAATCCAAATATTTAGGAAGATACTTACACTGTTACGATCTTGAGAAGTTTCGTCGAGTGTTGCTTTTTTTTATTTGTTGAGGGGGCATAAAAAACCAGAGAGAGACCTATTAAAGACAAAAGAAGAACTCTGTTTCTGGTAATGTCTCTTCTTTGCCCATCTGCCGTCTCTATATATATATATACATATATATATATTAAGTGTATATTAACTATGACGTAATTAATATATTTTTCTTGAGAACAAATTTCGGATTGGACCTTAGGATACGCAGTGAAGATTTTTCTTTGAGTCTTAATTCAAAGGTTTTACAATTCCGTCCGATTTAAAACATAAAAAATCAAGCCACACGAGCTCTTTGATTTTCAATATAACACTATTTGTTAATACTAGCGTGTGGGAGCGTGTGGGGCATATTTAAATACGTCTTTATATTGATTATTATATAATCTTACTCACAACTTATTTACATTTATAAGATTGTTTACATATACTGTTAGTACATACCAATTTACATATGCAAGCTTTTGTATTATACGCACGGGCACGGCGTTACGTATGGCTTATGGAGGGTTTAGGGGCATCTTTGAATACGTCGTCGTATCGATTGTGTAAACTAACAAGTCACAACTCACAACTTATCTACACTTTGATAACATTGTTGGAAGTTGTATACACATTATACCCTATTATATTAGTATATACATACTAGTATACTACCTTAAATATGTGATAGATATACGCACGGCGTTACGTATGGAACGTGGCATCTTTGAATACGTCGTCGACTCGTCGTACTTCTAAAAGTTCGCAACTTTATATGCATTTCTTAATTTTCGGCTCCGATCATTATATACGTTCCAATTCTGTAGTTATGTACTTTTAAACCAATTCTGTAACCATTTTTTTCGGTCAACGGATTCGTTCTATTTCTGTTTCGGATAGGAGGTATTAAATTTATTCTTGGTTTGTGCGCCTTTTTCTATTGAAAGTTTGAAACAAACAGGTTCATCAAGTCTACAAGAAAAAAATTACTAGTATGTTTCTTTAATTGACATCACATTATATAGTATATGTTACGAATACGCCTATATACAGTAGTAGCATATAATTGCCAAATTAAATAATTATGTCGAATCATTCTGCTCTGAGCTGTTTATATTGAAGATTAGACTTTTTATTATGTTTTACTACAGACACAAAAAAAGAAAAAGAAAGTGAGACTTGGAATTCTATATATATTATATATGTAGGTATTCATAAGTTTTGTTTCGATTACATTTGTACAGTTAATTCATCTGGTTATGAGATATTTTTTTTAATTATTCAAACCCAAGTAGGAGCTCATATTTTGAGATATGAGTTTTGTTTTTAAATAATGCTAATTTAGAATATAAGAACTTTACAGCTTAAATGTCAATAGGAATTATTGTAAAAGTGGTATTTCACTGTTATTTCATTTGTGGCGGTAACGCTAGATGAATAGTGGTGTTTTATACAATAATTTAATTGTATATATAACAATAATTCTACTACACGAAAACAGTATTTTACCGACTAAATTTAGCGACTCATTATGTAGTCGCTAAATTTACCGACTATTACACGACTACTTGACGACTACCCTGCGACTAAACCAATTTAGTCGCCAAATCATCGTCTATTAATGACCACAATATGTCGTTGTACAACTGTCGCCATTTGGCGACTAATATACGACTAATATGTTGTCGGTAAACTGTTGTCGTTAAATTGTCGTAATGTGGCGACTAAAAGGCGACTGTTGCGGCGAATCGCAAAAAATTAAACACGTGTTTTACATTTTGTGGTTGGTGTATCTACTTTTAACGACTATTGGTTTGTAGTCGTTAATTGGACGCAAAACAGTCGCAATGTAGTCGGGAAAATATCTATATATACAGCTTAGCGATTTCTCTGCTGGATCACAATTGTGCCTTGGCTGAATCATAATTTTTGGCTGAATCACAATTACGAGTTTTTTTTATATAAAATGTCAGGAAATTCTAATTATAGAGAATGGATGTATAAGAAGATTGATGAAAAGACGGGAAATTTCTCGGCTGAATTTGTAGAAGGAATGGAGCAATTCATGAATTTTGCAAACAATCAGCCTCTGACACAAAGCAATGGTGGCAAGTTTTACTGCCCTTGTAGTGTTTGCAAAAATTGCAAATTTTTACTGGGAAAAAAATTTGGAATCATTTGTATAGTAAAAGATTCATGCCGGATTATTATATTTGGTATAAGTATGGAGAAGAAATTACTGATCTGGATTGTGAAACTAGTTCTGTTGATACAACTCATATAAGTGGGAGTGAAGAAGATCAAATGGGTCATATTGCTGAAAATAGTTATATGCATATGGTGAATGATGCATTTCATGATAACTATCATCAAGGTGATAACTATCAGAATGTACAAGAACCTGTGCATAATCATTCCCAAAAGTTTTACAACCTCTTAGATGCTGGAAAAAATCCTTTATATGATGGTTGTCGGGAAGGCCACTCGTAGTTATCCTTAGCTGCTCGGTTCATGCAAAATAAGGTGGATTATAATATGAGTGAAAAGTGTGTGGATTCGTGGGCTTCTTTGTTTACCGAGTATCTACCTGACGGGAATAATGCAACCAGTTCAAATTACGAGACAGAGAAACTGATGGGAAATTTAGGCCTCCCATTTCATAAAATTGATGTTTGTATTAACAATTGTATGATCTTCTGGAAAGAAGATGAAATGTGGGAGGAATGTAAATTTTGTCAAGCACCAAGGTATAAGCCGAACGAAGGTCGACGACGATCACAAACTAGAATACCATATAGTCGTATGTGGTATCTACCTATTGCTGACAGATTGAAGCGAATGTATCAGAGCAAGAAGACGGCAGCGGCAATGAGATGGCATGCGGAGCACCAAGCAAAGGAAGGAGAAATGTGTCATCCCTCTGATGCTGCAGAGTGAAGATATTTTCATGATCTACATCCCCAGTTTGCCGAAGAACCTCGTAACGTTTATCTTGGATTATGTACATATGGGTTCAATCCTTTTGGCATGTCTCACAATCATTCTGTATGGCCTGTGATCTTGACTCCTTAGAATTTACCCCCAGGTATGTGCATGAAGACAGAGTACTTATTCCTTACAATATTGAATTCTGGGTCTAATCATCCGCGAGCTAGTCTTGATATCTTCCTCCGCCCACTTATCGAGGAGTTAAAAGAATTATGGTCAGTTGGAGTAGATGCATATGATGTATCCTTGAATCAAAATTTCAAATTAAAAGCTGTGTTGATGTGGACGATAAGCGACTTTCCGGCGTATGGTATGTTATCTGGATGGACGACCCACAGTAAATTGTCTTGTCCAATTTGCATGGAAGACACAAAGGCTTTTTATCTGCCAAATGGAAGGGTTTAGGGTTTAGGGTTTAGGGTTCAGGGTCATCCATTAAGGAAGAATAGAAAAGACTTTTTGAAGGGTAGACACGCTATTAATGAGTATCCACCAGAGTCTTTAAATGGTGAGCAAGTTTATACCGAGCGGATTGAATCTGTCAAACCCCCAAAAACATCGGAGTGTGGTGGAAACGGTCATGAAAAAAAGAAGGCTGGATACGGGAAGTGGCACAACTGGCACAAAGAAAGCATATTTTGGGAGTTGCCGTACTGGACGGACCTCAATCTCCGACATTATCTTGATGTGATGCATATAGAGAAGAATTTTTTCGACAACATCATCAATACTCTTATGAGTGTGGTGGGAATATCAAAAGACACAATCAAGTCAAGATTGGATATAGAACGATTCTGTGATCGAGCTCACTTACACGTTGATGCGAATGGTGAAGCACCTTTTCCTGTATACACATTGGAAGAAGCTGACAGGACAAAAATATTGGAATGCGTGAAAATGGTACAATTCCCAGACGGTTATGCCGCAGACTTAGCAAGTTGTGCTGATATAGAGAAAGGAAAGTTTTCAGGCATGAAGAGTCATGACTGTCATGTTTTTATGGAACGGCTACTTCCATTTATCTTTGCAGAACTTCTTGATCACAATGTCCATCTTGCATTATCAGGTACTTTGTTATAAATCAAATCAGTTTAATTTACAATTAAGTATAATTACTATATTATATAACCACTTGAGTTTGTATATTTTAGGGGTTGGAGGATTCATAATTATGAATATATTTTATTAAAACAATGATAAATTTATTTTATGTCTGCAGGTTACTTACTGGAATGCCACAAATCCTTTCTCTGTTTGGGTTCAAGACATAGTACACGGACCTGTGAATAAGGCAAAAACCTGGCCTATCTATTTTACCCGAGGATATTTGTTTCATACGCAGAATCATGGAATGGGATGGAAAACATGTAACTATGGGGTCTGTGTCAAAGGAGAAAATTATACGGATGCATCAGATGATGCTGATTTCTACGGGACCTTAACTGATATCATACAACTGGAGTATGAGGGAATGGTAAATTTGAAGATCACACTTTTTAAGTGTAACTGGTATGACCCTGTTATTGGTAGAGGCACTCGAAGGAGCAATGGCGGCATTGTTGATGTTCTTTCATCAAGAAGATATAACAAATATGAGCCATTTATTCTGGGTATATATAACTAAATATTTACATACATATTTTATATATAGTTATTGACATTTGTATATGTTGATATTTCACAGCTTCTCAAGCGGACCAAGTTTGTTTCATCCCGTATCCATACCAGAGGAGACCAAAACAGTTGTGGCTTAACGTGTTAAAAGTAAATCCGAGAGGAAATATTTCTGGAGAATATGAAAACAAAGAACCTGCTCTATTGCAAGAAATTAATGATGATGCTGTCATGCTGACTACGATTGAGGATCTCGTGGTTGACAACCGAGTGCACGGGGTGAATCCGATAAATCTTGATTTCGACGTTGGAGATGCAGAACCTGATGATGAATTTCATTGTAATTTATCCTCTTCAGATGATGATGAGGAGGCTGAGGAAGAACCTTACTAGATTTTCTGAATGACTGTAATCTACTTTTCTATTTTAAATCAAACAATGTAATGAATTAGTTGTATAATTAAGTATGTTAATCTTGTCTATTACTAATAAAAACATTGTGACTAAATAGCGACTGGAAAACGACTACGAAACTATTGCGACTGAAGCCCGACTAATCCACGACTACATTGGCATTTAACTAATTAAAAAATTCAGGCCCAATTAAGCCCAAGCTCGATTAATTCCCCCAAATTTTACGACTGAAGACCGACTAATTAACGACTACATTGGCCCATTTAACTAATAAACAAATCAGGCCCAAGCAAGCCCAATCCCGATTAATTCCCCCAAATCATCGACCCTAAATCCCCAAATTTCTCTAATTCCCTAACTCCCGAAACCCTAATTTCTCTAATCCTTCTTCGATCTCTCTTCCCCTTCTTCGATCTCTCTTCCCCTTTGTCCAATCTCTCTTCCCCTTTGTCGAATCTCGACCCTAAACCCCTTTCCGAACCGATTAGCCTCTACCCTAATACCGACGATTTCGATGCCTGGGAATGGAAGGAAGAAATTCCGACGAGGGTCTTCTTCATCGGCACGGAGAACGAAGTCGCCTCTTCCAGCGCAGTACGAGTTCACTCCAGCGAGCGATAACCCGTCTCCACCACCGGTTGTCCCCTCCTTCACGCATGTGAGGGAATATCCACCCCCGCAGCAACTTTTCGCATCACCGACTCCACAGCCTCAAAGTCGAAGCTCAGACTCTCAACCTCACACCTCTCAGAACTCACATCGTCGCACCTCTCAACACAACTCCTCTCCAGCATCTCACCAAGGAGCATCTCCCCTTTCTCAAGACCGGACTTCACAATCATCTCAAGCTCAAACTGCTCACTCAGCTGAAGCTCAGAGTTCCGGTGAAGAAGCTTCCTTTGAAGAATGCACTGCAAACCTCGCGAAAGACCAACTGAGAATCCTTAATGCACTGCTTACCAAGCCTGGCTGGGAAGAGTATACGACGGTCCTCTCTCCCACTCCGAAGCCTAATACAACATGGTAAGATTCTCTATCCTCCTTATCTTTGTTTCATTTCTCTTGTTTGTGTTAATTAGTGTTGATTCCATTTGTGTTGATCATTTGCATTGTTTGTGTCTTGATAGGTTCGGTCGTGACAAGTCTTCATTGACTAGGAAGATTACTAAAATCTTCACAAACAAGTTCGATGGTGAGTTCTATTCTTGGACTTGTGTGCCTCGGGAAAGACAGGAAAGATACTTCGTGGAATTTGCGGTAATGTTCTACCATTTCATTTTAGTTTTGTTTGGTTTGCTTACTGTTCAATATCATATCTATTAATATGCATTACTAACATCATCTTTTCATGCTAGAAAACCCATACATGGGATCCTTTAATCACCGGAGTGGTCCAAGAGCATTTTGAGGCTATCTGCCAACGCAGGATGAAAGACATGGTGAGTACGTGTAGAACTTCTCGGGAGCAGCCAAACTGGATCAACGACACACTGTGGAAGAAGATGATTAAGGTCTGGGATACTGATGACTGCAGAGAGAGGAGTGCGACAACATCAGCGGCTCGGTTGTCTGAACGTGGAGGTCTAGGTCCGCATGTACAGCTATCAGGACAGAAGTCATACCTTCAAATCCAGCAAGAGATGGTAAGTTACCTTGTCCATTTTTAGTATTGAGCTCATTTCATTTCAAAAATCATTTTCATACCTTACCTTATTCATCATTTTTCAGGAGGAGGAATTGGGAAGACCAGTGAGTCTTGGTGAAGTTTTCATCAAGACTCACACAAGACCAGATGGCACTTATGTTGATCGAAAAGCTCAGGCTGTAGCTGAAACCTATAAGAAGAACTTGGAAGCCAAGTTTGCTGAGCTCTGGACAGATATAGGAGAGAACAACGAGCTATCTCCTCGGCCTTAGCTATCCATAGCAGAGGACAACGAGCTATTTCTTCAGGTATGCTCTTTTTTTGTTTGTTTTTTGTGTTTTACGCAATAGCTGTTTGTATGTTTGGTTTTCATACTGATCACTCTTTTTTTTTTTACAAGTCGACTTTCACCAATGAGAGAGGAGTACATTATGGTGTAGGAAGCCTTTCTCAGTCACTAGATGCCGGCAAAAGGAAGTACCCTGGAAGCACTCTTGCATTCAACACACTGCAAGATCAGTTGCAACAAGCTCACAAAAAGATAGAAGAACAGGCGGCTGAGAATGCAAGGCGTGAAGCAGAGCATACCAAGGTTGCAGCTGCCCAACAAGCCAAGATCGAGCAATTGACATTGCTCGAAAGGTACCTAAGCGAAACTGATCCAGGGTTCTTGGACTTCAAGGCTGCTCACTCTGTTCCCACGTCTTCACCTCCAACCCCTGTTACAACAGCTGCTGCAATCGGTGATGCTCCAAACGGTGCTTCAACAGCTCCTCCAACTACTGCTCCAACTACTCAACCGCAAGATCCTCTAGGTTTCTCATCTTTATCAAACTCATTTTAATTGTCTCTATTTTGTGAACTTGACTCCAATGGTTGAATATGGTTTTTGTGGTAACCATTGGATTTGGTAATCTTTTGTTTTGGGAACAACGGTTTTTTTTTTGTGATGATGTAATACATTTTAGGAAACAATGCTTTTAATTTTTATGGCTAATGGTTCTTATATGAAGTTTTTGTTTTACTGCATTTTGTATTTGCATTTTGTATTTGGTTTACAATTGATTTTAGGTACCAAAATTAGCACCTTAAATAAGCATACCAACTTTTGTAATCCACAAAGAAAATAGTCGCAAATTGGACGGAACTTAGTCGTAATTCAATCGCAATTTAGTCGCTAATTAGTCGGGACTTTTTCAAATCCAGTCGTTAGGTAGTCGGCAATCAGTCGTATCCAAATCACTATGTTGTCGTTCATTAGTCGCAAAAGTAGTCGCCAACATAGTCGCCAACTGGTCGTAGATTGGTCGTCAAATTTAACGACTACTTAGCTACTCCTTGAAACGACTAACTAGCGATTACAATTCAGTCGGTATATAATCGTAACTTAGTCGTAAAGCAGTCGCCAAATATTACGACTAATCAACGACTGCTTAACGTCATCATCGTTTAGTCGGCATTTAGTCGTGAATGTACGATTGATTAACGACTATTTTGATTTGCGACTAAATATTTCCGACTACATACATTAGTCAAACCTGACTAATTGTGATGTCGCAAATTACATGTAATCTTGTAGTGTTCATCCTAGTTTCTATAGTATAAGATTGTGAAAACTAGTAAACGAAAACGTGTAAAAGAAATGTCCGTCTTCGTGTCCTCGATCGTGGGACTAATTTCTCGTATTTTTGATTAGAGAATTTCACACAAGTCAAATCAAATCTATAACATTCGAGTTTGGTGAGAAAACGCGGTGTGGGACACTTAGCATATAGTTGCATATTACAACTTTAAATAATATGATTACGATGATGATATTAAAATATATATATATATATATGATTACGATTATGATAGTGCAAAGCCAATAGTAATTTTACAATATGCATGGTTGATTTCAATGGTCCAAACAATCTTTATATATTAAATCAACTAACACTACTACATTAATAAAATAAATATTATGATTTATGGCGGTCAAAGAAAGCAACCACATACGAATGTGATAAAGACAGGAGAGCACCAAAACCGGTTTCGGGGTCGTAAGGTGTAATTGTAGAGTCAACCAATTGCGGTCAGGTCCCTTTACATTTGGGTTTTCCTAAAAGGGTTTCTTCTCCTTGTTTCTACTCGATTGTATAGCGTACGTGTTAGTTCAAAGTTGTTGACTTAATTATCTCACTCGCTCACCTTTTAGACGACACAAAACAAACACCGAAACAATACGTATGTGTTGCTATATACTATCACGATAATGCATCAAAAGTAACCTATTTCTGCTAGTAAAAAAATTGGTTTTAACATTTTTCTTAACTAGTTATCATGTGATGTTGGAAATTTGTCTCTTTTTTTTTTTGCTAAGAGAAAAAGATAGATAAAAGGCTCTTTGAAGTTTGTCTATAACATGATTTATTTATTTGTAATTAACGACTTTAATTAGTTGAATACGAATATACGATGATGGTTTAACCAAAACCGACGCTCTATACGTAACGCTGTGCGTATATCCTCTATGTAAGTTTTTTTCTTACTAAACAAAAATTTGGATCTATGTCCCAACTAAAGCTTGTATGTGTTTTTTTTGTTTTTTTGCTTTTTTAACTTGTGGTTTTTTTTTGGTATGGATATTAATAGGTCAGATTTCAATTTTCAATACCTTTGCATCAATTCATTGTAATGATGAGAATGGCGAATTAGTGAACGTAACTTTTAAGAAAAAAAACTATTAACAGAAAAGCAGGAATGTAAATTTCTAAAAAATAGATTGTATTAGACTTTTAGTCTTTTTGATCCAAAATCAGGTTTTGATAATATTTGGTTGTTTTACAAAGCGTAAATCGTAAATCACCTCTTATGAAGCGGAAAGTTCCAATTCGGATTTTAACCAAAACAAAGGTTCTAATTCAGCTCTCGAAACGCTACAACAATATATCTCTAACGGATTGAGTTACCAACATTTGGTATAAATAATTATATATATAATTAAGTAGAGAAATTTTATTTTTTTTCATCAGAAAATCAATCAACAAAAATATTGGGAGAAATGGGTTTAGTTTACTCGGTAATGAGAAATACAACATAAGTAAAATCAAGATTCACTTGCACTACAGGGCAAGAATCAGGAAAAGACAATAAAATCCTTTAATTAAAACTCTCGAAAAATATTCATGAGAAAGAAGATCTGCGAAGTCTGGTGAAATATCCATGCCTTTAGCTTTGAAGTTGAACAGATTGTATTAGGGAGCGAGCCTTTGAGGGTCACGAGGGAAAAGCGATGTTTTGCGGATGTTATTGAGGGCACAAAAGAGCATTACGACTCGCTCCAGCCCAACTCCGAATCCACCGTGAGGAGGTGCACCGTACCTAAATGCATCGATGTATGTTTCTAACGTCTTCAGATCAATGCCACATTCTCCTGCTCGTTCCTCCAAGAATTCTAGGATATGAATACGTTGGGCTCCTGATATGATCTCCTCACCTCTTAAGAAGACATCAAATGAGTTGCTGTAGCGAGGATCGTCTCCACATGGCATAGTGTAGAATGGCCTAACTGCAGCAGGGAAGCGATGCAGCATGTAGAACTCTGTGTTGTACTTTTCTAAAACGAGCTGGCCAAGCTTTCTCTCAGTTTCTGTATTTAGATCTCCAAGAGGATCAACCTCCACACCAGCATCCTTAAGCATTTGAATCCCTTCTGCAAAAGTTAGCCTCAATGTTTTTGGAAGAAACTTCAAAGGTTCAAATGGGTATTGCTCTCTGACAGCTTCTAGTTCCTCATTGCCCCTCTCGTTCAATTTAGTGAATATGAAGACAAACAGCTCGTCAACAAGATCCATAATCTTGCAAAAAACAAGAAATATATTAGCACCATATATTGGCAGCAGAATAGACATACTTTTGAGATTAAATATAATTAACATCACACAATCTTACCTCAGAATAGTGCATTTGAATCTCCATCTCCACATCAAGACCAACGAATTCACACAGGTGTCTTAGACACGGGTACGGGGTCGGGAAACTGGGACGGGAACGGGGACGGGAAACTGGGACGGGAACGGGGACGGGAAACGGCAAATTAAAAATTTATAGATACAGGTACGGTATGGATACGTCAAATAAATATGTATGTATATAACAAAATAATACACATACATTTGAGCTAAATTTTTTTTTCTAATACTTCAAAAGAGTTTTATCATTTCCTAAATCCACAAATACTATACTACTAAAGGAAATAACCACTCTTGATCATTAATATATACTAGGAAAAATTTCATATTAATATAACCCTTCCCAAATTCCTAGAAACCTTAGAGAAACGTTTCCGAGCTGTCCCCAATCAGTACCCGTCCCCAAAACGTTTCGGAGACGTGAGACGTCTACAAACTGCCGTACCCGTGCTTCATAGGGTGTCTATGAGTGAAGGAGTCTTCTGCTCTGAAAACAGAACCAACCACAAAGACGCGTCCAAAGTCTCCACATATTGCCATCTGCTTATGAAGCTGAGGAGACTGAGCCAGACAAGCAGGCTGTCCAAAGTAGTCCAACTTAAACACAGCAGAACCACCTTCGCTACTACCAGCGATCAGTTTCGGTGTGAAGATTGGAACAAACCTCTTGGATATTAAAAACTCTATGAACGCAAAAAAGACATGACCCTCAATGCGGAAAATGGCTTGATTAGCCGGTGTCCTGAGGTCGATCACTCTATTATTCAAACGTGTATACTGATCAGCACCAGCTTTTCCAGCCTTTAAATCTGCTTCACTTCTTGCAGCATTCTCCACGAGAAGTGGTAACTGTGGAAAGCCATTGTTGAGGCAGTAGGCTTTTCTCACTTGAATCTCGACCTTCTGCGTGGATGCTTTAACAGGTTCCTTGGGGAGCACGACAACACCGATGACATCGACAAAGGACTCGCTGCTAAGCTGCTTGAGGAATTTAATCATGTTGACGCTCACTTTGGTCTCCTCTGATTGTGTAGCCACACATTGGACCTTGAATCCATTTTGCCTCAACATCATAAACCCTAGTTTGCTAGATTTATGGCGATACGTTTCTAATCGTCCTCTGATCAGAACCTCTGTTCCAACCATCTCTTCCACCAAATCCCTCACTTCGGTCATCTTCTTTCCTTCAGTAGCCTCTCTCCATTTACCGGCCGCCGTCGAGTTTAACTCGGTGAAAGTCACGTCACCGTAGTTCTCGGAATAATACGATTCATCTTCCAGGGATAGAGAAGCAGTCTTGCGGTTTAGGGTTTCTTGTTCTTGTTTGCGGCACAGTTTCGCGGCTTCCTTCTTTGCCGCTTTCTTGCTTCTCATCTTCTCTCCAGATTCCTTTGAGGGAGAAGCGATTTCTCGGCTATAACAACACGAGAGTAAACCGTGTTCAAGTCAGGCAATGGGTCTTCATCGATGATTTGGTCACGAATGACGCTGAAACGAGATTCGTCAAGACCGAAAAGGAACCTGTGAACACGAGCATCTTCACGTTCTTTCTCCATGAATGCAGCGGCAGAACAGGTGCAGGAAACAGAGGTTTTGAGACTCTGAACCTCTTCCCAAAGCTTGGTGAGACGTCCATAATACTCGAGAACAGATTGGCCGTTCTGTTTGCATTTGGTGATCTCCTCTTCAAGCATGTGTTTACGTACACCGTTTTTGACGGAGAAGCGAGTCTTGAGAGGAGAAGTAGTAGTAGACGTAGAGGATTCTGTTGCCATGATCGATTGTCAACGAAGATTGTAGAAGAAGAAAGGGTTTTAGAAAGCGGAAGCAAAAAGAAAGCGGAGAAGAAAATAACCGGTTTAAGGATCAATTTGCTCTGATTCTATGAAATAATATGAAAGCTTGATACATCGACATCTTCATATATATACATAATTATTTCCAAAATCCTAAGCCTATTAGAAATACAATCACTAAAAACACCTCATTTACAACAACCATATTCGTTGTAAATTTGTTGTATATGAGTGTTTGCATCGATTTTACGACAAAAATCAAATCGTCGTGAATCGATCGTCGTAAATCTAATTTCGTCGTAAATTCGTTGTAATTAGCGACGATTTATATTCGTCGCTAATTTACGACGATTTTACAACGAATTTTAATATTTTTTTAATTTTTATTTTTAATTTTTTACAACGATTTTACAACGATTTTTATTATTTCTTTTTATTTTTACAACGATTTTACAACGATTTTTATTATTTTTATTATTTTTATTTATTTATTTTACGACGATTTTACAACGATTAATTTTTTTTTTTTAATTTTTCCGGCAATGGTGGTTCCGGTGGTGATAGCTCCTCCGGCGGTGGTGGCTCCTCCGGCGGCGGTGGCTCTTCCTGCGCCGGTGGTCGCCGGTGGTCGCTGGTGGTCGCCGGTGGTCGCTGGTGGTCGCCGGTGGTCGCTGGTGGTCGCCGGTGGTCGCTGGTGGTCGCCGGTGGTGGTCACCGGTGGTCGCCGTTGGTGATCCGTGGTGGCCGGTGGTTACTCTGATGATAGTGATACACTGATTGTTTAATAGTTATGAGTATGTATATATATACTAGAACAAATTTTCCAAAACTACCGATGTTGGACTTTGTATATTTTATGAAATCGTTGTAAAATCGTTGTAATTTACGACGATTTTACGACGATTTGATTTTTTTTTTAATAAAAAAAAATTTAAAACAAAATTTAAAAAAAAGAATTTAAATAAAAAATTTAAAAAAAAAATCGTCGTAAAATCGTTGTAATTTACGATGATTTGATTTTCTTTTCAATAAAAATTTTTTAAAAAAAAAAATTAAAAAAAAAAATTTTTAAAAAAAAATCGTCGTAAATTGCAACGATTTTACGAATATTTTTTTTTAAAATTATTAATTTCTAAAAACAAAATATCATCGTAAAAACATCGTAGATGGCGACGGTTTTACAACGATTTTTTTTTGCAACGAATTAACGACGATTGTGTGCCAAATCGTCGTTAATTTGCGACGACAATAATTCGTTGTAAAAAATCGTTGCTAACTCTATCTTTTCTTGTAGTGAATTTTCCTTTTTTAAGATAACTCCTGAGTAAAAAAATCGTCGTAAACTCGACGTACAATTTACGACGAATTACGACGATTATACATCGATAACGAGAGATTTGCTAGTAAATGTAAAGTCGTCGTATATTCGTCGTAATTTTGCGACGACTTTACGACGACTTTGTTTCGATGTACATATTACGACGATTGTACGTCGAAAAAGGAGTTAGGTGAAAAACATTTAAAACATGTGTACCTAACAATTGTAGATTATCGCAAAATCGTCGTAAACTTGTCGTAATATGATTGGTGAATGTAAAACCGTCGTAAAAAGTCGTCGTAAAAGCGATGTAAAGCCCGAAATTTTCCTATAAATAGATCTTCATTCCTTCATTCAATCACAACACATCATCATTCAAACATAAGAGCATCTTCATCTTGGAGACCCATTGTATTTAGTATAGTGTTGTAAATCCTTATATATTGGGTTGTCCATTGCTGAAAACCCGAATTAAGATATTACTTTGAATCAAAGAAGTAATAATATTATAAGGTTAATTTACTTCATTCACGTGGCTAGACGTGACACAAGAGACCACCTATATATAGTTATTGTCTAATCAATAAAAAGAGATATTATTTTGAGTTTATTTTCAAGATGTCTATATACGAGCTAAGAAGTTGGATGTATATGCGTAAAGATTCAGATGGGGCGTTGACAGAAGAATTCAAGAACGGGTTAGAAATATTTATGTATCAGGCTACAAATATGGAGAGAACGAAAGATAGTGGGAAGATGTTTTGTCCTTGTTTGAAATGCAAGAATACGAGGTATACACTAACCAAAACCGTGTGGACGCATTTATTAAATAGAGGGTTTATGCCGCAATATTTTGTTTGGTATCTACATGGAGAAGGATATGGCAGTAATACTCATGGGAATGCTGGTAGTAGTAGTAATTACCAAAGTCATGTTGATATTGATGAATCGAATTATGGTCATCAGCCTAATCAGTATCAATATGACCAAAGTGTAGATCATGATAGGATGCACGAAATGGTGACTGATGCATTTCATGAAACGCATACGGGTAATGCTGTTGAGGAACCTAATGTAGATGCCAAACGATTTTATGATTTGTTAGACAATGCTAATCAGCCAATCTACGAAGGATGTAGAGAAGGCTTGTCTAAATTATCGTTGGCAGCTTGGATGATGTCAATTAAAACAGATCATAACCTGGCTGAGGTTTGCATGGATGATTGGGCTGATCTTCTGAAGGAGTATCTACCGGAGGATAACTTGGCAGCGGGAACATACTACGAAATTCAGAAGTTGATTTTTAGTCTTGGTCTACCTTCTGAGATGATAGATGTATGTGTTGACAATTGTATGATTTTTTGGAAAGACGATGATCAGCTGGAGGAATGTCGATTTTGCCATAAACCAAGATACAGGCCTCAAACTGGTGGGCGTAAAAGGATACCGTACCAACGTATGTGGTATCTCCCTATAACTGATAGGTTAAAACGGCTTTATCAATCTGAAAGGACAGCTGCATCAATGAGATGGCATGCGGAACATACACAAGTAGATGGAGAAGTTGTTCATCCATCAGATGCAAAGGCATGGAAACACTTCAATATGGTATACCCAGATTTTGCTAAGTTCAAACGGAATGTCTATCTTGGTCTGTGCACTGATGGTTTTAGTCCATTTGGTATGTCTGGTAGACAATATTCATTATGGCCAGTAATCCTAACTCCTTATAACCTTCCTCCAGATTTGTGCATGCAAAGGGAATTTCTTTTCCTAAGTATTTTGGTTCCAGGTCCAAATCATCCGAAGCGAGCTCTCGATGTATTTCTTCAGCCACTCATCCATGAGTTGAATCAGTTATGGTATACTGGCGTTCGTACATATGACTGTTCTACGAGGAAGAATTTTACTATGCGGGCTGTGCTTATGTGGACAATAAGCGATTTCCCCGCTTACGGTATGCTATCAGGCTGGACTACACATGGGAGGCTATCTTGTCCTTATTGTCTTCATCGAACTGATGCGTTTCAGCTAAAACATGGTAGAAAAACTTGTTGGTTTGATTGTCACCGAAGGTTTTTACCGGATAACCATCCATATCGGAGGAACAAGAGGTTATTTTTGAAGAAGAAAAGTGTACGTGTTCCTCCTCCCGTTAATTTAACAGGAGCTGATATACATGTGCAAATAGATCATTGGAGGGCAGAAGAAACAGTAACTCGTGGGGGAAACTGGCACACTCCTACAAATATGCCTGAAGGTTATGGAGTTCATCATAATTGGCACAAGAAAAGTATCTTCTGGCAACTACCTTATTGGAAAGATCATCTGCTCAGACACAATCTTGATGTCATGCACATTGAAAAAAACTTTTTTGATAACATCATGCATACAATTATGAACGTAGCGGGAAGAACAAAAGACAATGGTAAATCAAGATTGGATTTGCCTGATTTATGCAACAGAAGTGAGTTGCATCTGAGAAACGGGAAAGCACCAGTTCCTGTATTTCGGTTGAGTGCAGATCAAAAGTCAGCACTGTTCAGATGGGTTTCTTCTGACGTTAAATTTCCTGATGGGTATGTCTCTAATCTTTCCAAATCTGTTGAGAAGGGGGTAAAGTTTGCTGGGATGAAAAGCCATGACTGCCATGTCTTTATGCAACGATTATTTCCATTTGCATTTGCTGAACTCTTGCCCAAAAACGTCCATGAAGCTATTGGAGGCATTGGTGCTTTTTTCGGGATCTTAGTACACGAACATTATCAGTTTATGTAATATCACAACTAGCATTGAATATTCCAATCTTGTTGTGCAATATGGAAAAGATCTTCCCACCATCATTTTTTGATGTTATGGAACATCTTCCTGTTCATCTCCCATACGAAGCAGAGCTCGGTGGACCCGTTCAGTACAGGTGGATGTATCCGTTCGAGCGTTTCATGAAGCATCTTAAAGGCAAAGCCAAAAATCTAGCTAAAGTGGAAGGCTCAATTGTGGCGGGAAGCTTAACGCAAGAGACTTCACACTTCACGTCATACTATTTTGCACCGAAAGTACGAACACGCAAAAGAGCAACTCGTCGATATGATGATGGATGTTCCACTTCAACAGGACACATGCGTAGATCTGTCTGAACCAGATGTTGATGAGGAGATTTTCTTAATAGACCCTCGAAACAGGCAACTTGAAGATCTTCCCGATGATACAGAAGAAGAAGGTGATGATGAGTTTGCTGAAACCGATGATGACGATTTGGCGGAAGAAGACGGTGATGGTGATGAAGTAATAGAGGAAGATGAATCTGATTGAATTTCATGCATTGCATTTAGTGAATGTTTGTTATTATCGAACTTTTAGAACACAGTAATAATTTATGCTAAGAAACTCATCGACCTATAGTGTTCCCTCCTTGGTCGATGAGTTTCTTAGCATAAATTTGATTATACGACGGTTTTACGACGACTCAATTTTACGACGGTTTTACGACGATTTGTCTAAACCCTAAACCCTAAGTCTAGGGTTTAATGCCCTGAATGAATAGGGTTTAGACATTACGACGTCTTTACGACGAACCATCGTAATGTCATCGTAACGTTACGACGGTTTTACGACGAGTACACTAGTTCGTCGTAAACCCGTCGTAATGTTGAAATCCAAG